ACCAAAAACAACTTAGAGGTGTTAAAAGATCTGCTCTACAGGTAGACTGTTAATTTTCACAGTGTTTTACACTTTGATTATGTTCTTTTGAAGGAACATGAGATCTTTATGTGTTTCTATTTCATTTCATTATCTGAATGGCTGATATTCACCTAGTGATCACCTGTATTTGAGGTGGATTCTCAGTGTCTGTATTAATGTCACCTGTATTATTACATTGGCTTACTTTGCTTTACAGCATAAATCTTCTGCAAAGCATGATTGTGCAACAGTAAGCAGTTGGTGGTATGCATATTTCTGTGGTACAGAACATTCATATTGAGCTATTTGAGCCTTTTTAATCCTTTCAGGAAGTTTTATGCTAGTAAAATCTGTTTTCTATGTAGTTTTCTTATGCAACCTAGTCAGAAGACTTTCAGTAGTACAGTTTGCTGTATTCAAATTTTAAATAGCGTTGTTTGCAAGAATACTTGAATTTATATTCAGGTTATGATTTACAAAACCACTTTCCACCAGAGAGGTGCGAATTACGTCCATGCTGTAAGTGAGGAAATTATTATATAGAGAAAGTACATTCATGTAATATATAATATATAATGTAATATATAAAATATAATGTAATATATCATGTAATAGATCTCAATTGCCATTGAGACCTTGTGCTGCAGAATTACCATCATTTATGTGTCTTGACATTGCTAGGCCATCCTCTAAACATCCAATCCGCCTATTAACAACTGGAATTTTATTTTTCCAGTATAATCATTTCTTTCACGAAACAAGCATGCAATAAATGAGTACATCACAATTCACAGAATATCCAGCTGTTTGCCCAACTGTTAGCACTTAAAAAGTCCCCTGTATTTTTCTTCTACCTGGCACCAATGTGCGTGGAGATAACAGTGATGGAGTCTGGACAGAGGAACTATAGACAAGAAAAACAGACACTGTGATTTTTATCAATCCCTGTTCTCCTGAAGTTTTGAAATGTGTTTCAGACTGTACATCTATGCTTAGGAGAGTAAAACACTATAGCGTTATTGTAAGTTATTATCTAAAATGAAATTTTACAAACCCAAGAAAATCAAAGTAATGGTACTTCTAAATATATATTCCTTAGAAGTAAATTATAAAAAAAAAAAAAAAAAGAAAAAAAAAAAAAGGTGAAATAAATTATTAACTCTATATTTTGTCATCACAGTATATTAGGTTTTATAGTCTACATTATAACTCTTGCCTAACATGCTGTTTTGTACAGGCCATCCTGTTGCGTCCTGAGGATATTGGTTACTTCTGGCTTACATGCTTGCAAAATAAGTTGTGAAAGCAATGGCTGTGTGATGTGACTGCACTTCCCTGTGACCACAATGGGGGTTCTGCACTTGCTCTTCTATTCTTTCAGAGGCAAAGAGTACAGGTAGAGATCTTCAACAGCTTGAATAGTCCATTTACAGATCCATGATGCAATTCAGTTTTGGCAATTTGTGGAACCATAGAATGGTTTGGGTTGGAAGAGACCTTAAAGATCATCTAGTTCCACCATTTACCATGTGCAGGGACACTGACAGCTGGATCAGGCTGCCCAGGATCCCATCTAAACTGGCCTTAAACATTTCCAGGGATAGGGCATCCACAGCTTCTCTGGCCGCCTGTTCCAGGGCCTCACCACCTTCATCGTGAAGCATTTCTTTTTTATACCTAGTCCCTGTCTCCCTTCTTTTACTTCAAAGCCAATTCTCTTTGTCCTACCATGGGACTCCATAATAACTCCTTGATAAAGAGTCCCTCCCTAATCTCTTCAAGGTTTATGTATGAATGAGTTTTATGTGAACTAATTTGTTACCTATGACAATTATTATAAGCATGCAATCTTTAAGGAGACAAAGATGTAGACAACAAGCATCAGATTGCACAAGCATAGTTAGACAATCCTAATGGTGAGCTTCATTAAGTGTTATAGGGAAATAAATTTGTTGGGAATTATTTCTGGTGTAATAAACTACCTGTGACTTATTATCTTCTTAATAAAAGTAACATGTAGGGCATTTCAGAGATGAACTCAATAAAAGTTTTGTTTTGTTTTGTTTTAACCTAAAAGCTAAATTGCACCAGTCCTTAATTTTTAGGATATGTAGGTGTGGCATGTGCTGAGAGGAAATGAATGTAATTCACCAAATTGGTATAAGATGAAAAAATTCACAGAAAAAAAACAGAACAAAACAAACCATCAGTCAAGAGGGCAATATTGGGAACATTATTTACAAAGCAAAATTAGTAAATAAAAATATTATTTAAATTAGAATGCCAGTCTATTTTTGTCAGCCTCATCTACGTAACCTTCAAATGTCTAGGATGTAGTTAAAAAGAAATCTAGGAATGATATAAGCAGCATCACCCTTTTTCTGTCTTTACTTATGTCATGACACTCTTTGTAATGTTTTACAAGAAAACTACATTTCATAATATTATAATTGAAATGCACCAAGTTCTTTTAGACTCTTTAAAAAACCTATTTGGATGATAAGTGTGAAGGTCTGATATGTGAAATCAGTTGATTTCAAAAATACGTAGATGGTGCTCAGGCTGACGTCAAAAACTGGTGATGTGTTTACATTCTTTGCGAAGTATGTCACGATTCTTTCATTGTCAGCCAGCTGAAGTCACTCCAATTCCTTGCTCCTACATTAACCCCTCAGTCAAGGTAGTTCTCTGTGCGACGGTGCAGAGGACAAACCCAAGAATCCATCCAGGCCAAAAGCATTTCTTTGTTCTTGATAGAGCATTTCCAAGATTACTTCCCACACACGGTTCTAGGTTGCCTCAGCATGGCTGAGATGGTGGGAATGCGATGCCAGAAGCAACTGGAGCTGCTTAGGCTGGCACTGAGTTACACTACTTAAAAAGAAAAAGAAAAAAAAAAGAAGAAAAACAGTAACCTTTATTGAATTGCTGATATTTCCTTGAATTTGCAAGGCAGCATCAGGTCAGACATCTTCAAGAGGAAAGATGACCCAGGTAGTCAGTCTGATGGCGGTGAAATGCCTGGATTTCAAATTTATGTTCAGAACCATCTTGTTTGAATTATGGTAATAATCACAGATGTCCTGTGTTCTCTTTGTATGTACTTCTTTTGTTCTTAGTATTTGAAATTAAATTGGTTCATGTTAGGGATTGATCCCGGTTAAAGCCATTTTAGAATTATTTTAGTCACAATGATTTTTGTAGCAAAGCCTGTCCTGGCCAGTTAATAAATGCACTACTTCAACACAGTAAGAATGCAATGCTTCCTGACTGTTGCCTTCCTCCTCCAGCCCCCTCACTGCCAGGCAGACTAACCCTGAGCTACCGGCCTCAGTAAGCCATGTCAAGTATTTCAGAGCTGAAGCTGGTTAATCACCTTTATATCTCAAAGACTAAATCCCTTTGGCAGCTCACTCAGTCCTCTGACCAGATGTTTCTCAGACTGGAGCTTGATTTTGCAATTTCTTATTTAGAAAATATAAACTACAAAGAAAAAAAAAGCTATGAATAGTATTAAATTATTAATCATTTCAAAGCTGCTAATGACTCACTTGAAAACTAATAGAAAATGCCTCTCTCCAAATTCACAAGGGTTCCTTAGAAATTCATTGTATGCAACTCATTGCACTGGTTTATTTAACATCTTCTCAAGAAATTTCTTGTTCAACAGCTACTTTTGGCTTTTTGCTAACACTGGGAAAAGACAGAATTTCTTCCAAAGGCATCAGCACAATTATTTGCAGTATCTTTACTCATCTGCTCATTTGATTACGTTATTATCCTCTGAGATGGATTCTAATTCACCAGGGGCTTCCGCATCTTCTTAGGAATGTCCATAAGTCACGCCTCATGGGTTAGCCACAATAGCAGAAGGCTATTAACTATGGGAATAACAACTATTTAAAACCCCAAGAAGACATATAAAAATATATGCAACAATGAGAAGGAAGGAAACAGAACTCAAAACAGGAAGGGGCTGTTGTTCAGTATCTCAGCAAAGGAAATGGAGAATGTAAACTGAAAGCTCTCATCAGCACCAGGGACACAGAAACGAATTCTTTGCACTGCATTGTGACTTTGATTGCTGCACTAAATAGCTTCCATGAGGCAAATTAACAGACTTCAGTGGTCAAAGGCAATAGCCTCCGCAGATAAACGTAATTCACTTTTCACAAAGTCAGAGATAAGAGTTATTTTTTTTCCAACACAGGAAATCAATATTTAGTTTCTTTTCACTCTCTGAACAAGGCCAAATATTTAATCTAGATGGACACAGCACCGGCCCTGACAGACACGTCCTCCAATTCTCCAGCTGCAATGACTCCCGGTGGATGTAACCTGGGCTTTGCTTTTCTGCTTGGAGTGCTGGTGCATAGTTACAGAAAAAAAAAAAAAAAAAAAAAAAAAAACCAAAAAAAAAAAAAAAAAAAAAAATCCATGGGTAAATATGTAACTTCAGAATACAGAGCGATTGAAGTACGGACATCGAATATGTCATTGAAGCCACTCTGTAGCCCGATGTTTGACGCCGGACAGCGGGCAAATGTAACAGCAGGATCGCGTCGGGTCCCCGCTTCTCTCGACTCCGGCACCGCCGAGGGAACGACAGCGGTGGGTGACAGCGCCACGTCCCGCGAGCAGGCCGCTATGGCGGCCACCGGCGCACCGCGGCCAGCCGTCCTTATCGCCGGAGCGCGGCCGGCACCACACCCGGCTATCGCGCGTCGCGCAGCCTCCGCCCAGCGGAACGGCGGCGCCCCGAGCACGGGGCGGGGCCCCTCCCGCAGGAGAAGCTCGTCCCACACCGCGGCCAATCAGGGGCGCTGCCGGAGGGCGCGCGGCGGCGGTTGGCGGTCGTTGGGAGCCCCGCGGCCACTCGGCGCCTCCGCCCGTGCTCGAGCTCCGCCTCCATTCGCGGCCCCTGGGGCTGGGAGTCGCCGCAGACGCCATTTCCTCAGCGCCCCCGCGGCGGCGCGGCTGCATCAGCGCTGACGTGAGAGCGACGCGCGGCTCCGCCCGGCCCGATCCCCCCCACCCCCCTGTGACGGGGGCAGCACGTACAGGGCGGCGGGTGAGTGCGGGAGGGGGCGGGGACACGTGTGCGCGCAGCCCGACCCCCTGCGGGCCGGCGGCGGGGCAGCGCGCGGCGCGGCGCGCAGGGCGGCGACGGCGCGTGAGGGCCGGACCGGGGAAAGGGGGGATCCGCGCCGGCGGGGGCGCGCACGAGGGGGCGGTGGCGGCGCGTCCCTGCCAGCCGCCGGGAGCGCGCTCCGCGCGGAGAGGGCCGCGCCTGCCTCACCGCTCCGCGCTGCAGTTCCGCCGGGCGGCCCCGGGGAAATTCCGCGCTGCCGCTGGACTCTCGCACCCCGGACCCGTACTGGCGGTTGGGGATCCCGCTCCGTGCTCGCCGATAGCGCTGGGACGGGCAGCCGGGGCTGCGTGTCCTGTAGCGCTTGAGCGATTCCACTGATGCTGGCTCGTAAATGATCTGCTGCTTCTGCGGTGCCGTGCCTGGATGCTGAGGTGACAGGGAACGTGCTTATGCTTGCAGCCATAGGAGAGTCGCAGAACGGTTCGGGTTGTAAAAGACCACAAAAATCATCTCGTCCAGCTGTCAGTCCGGCCCCGCCACGCCCAGCAGCCATGTCCTGCAGCGCCACATCTCCGTGTTTACTGAACGCTTGCAGGGCTGCTGACTGCACCAGTTCCGTGGGCAGCCTGTGCCACTCAGTACTTCACCACTCTTTCAGAGAGGAACTTTTTCCTAATAGCCAACGTGAATATTCTCTGGTGCAGCTTGTGGCCGTTCCCTTTCATCCTATTGCTGTATCTGACTGTTGCTTCAGTCAAGAAGCGACAATCTTGATAGCAATCAAGTCTCCCCTGAGCCTCCTCTTCTGCAGACCATACAGCCCCCGTTCCCTCAGCTGCTTTTCACAAGGCATGTGCTCCAGATCCCGGGTAGATTCGATGCCCCTCTTTGGGCAGCACTTCGGAGCCTCGGTGTCTTTCTTGTAGTAAGGAGGTTGGGGCTCTGCATTATTTGAGTGTTGTGTTAAGAGCCTGGGAGGAAAAGGACAGGGAAGAAAAAAAGAAAAACCCATTGGTAATTAGAAGAAACTAAGTATTGCAATGACATCAAATTAAACAGGAACTTGCAATTGGGATCCAGTCTGCTGTGCTGTTGCTCACTGCACTCAACTTAGTGCTATGAGCACTCAGTGCCAGCTGCAGTCCCTGCAAAGCACAGCAGCAAACTGGGTTCCAGGCTTCAATACTTAAAAACAGTGCTGTTGTGATATGAGAGCACTGTGAGTGTTCCTGCATTTGCTGTGGGATCACCACTAAATACAAAACAGGTGTGTGTAAATTCACATCCTCACTTTCCAGTCACTACCTTGGGATTAAAAATCCTCAAAGAGATACTTGAAGCAAAGTCAAAATGCATTTTCTAGGCTCGTATCACTTCCTTTGTAAGCAATCTCTGATGTATGAAGTACTGTTGAAATAAAGAAGTTATTTTTCAAGTGTCTCTGGGTATTTAATTATGAAGTCATACATGCAAAGTTCTACTAGAATTGGCTCGCACATTGGAATTTCACCTTCAGACACTAAATACTCATTAATATTCACTGACGTCAAACTAACGACAGTGTTGGTGTGAAGTAAAATGATTTTTTTGTGATCTTTATTACAGAAGAATATGTCTTGATAAGATGTTCTCCTTGTCCTTTTATCTGTGGACAAAAAGTGCTAAAAGGTTCACACCTCTTGAGGTAAATGACTTCTCTACCTTTTCCTTGAACTAAAGTGTCAGTATTGTCCTGCGGGTGGTGCTGCTTTTAGCTGCTGGAGGAGCTTTTGGTTTGTTAAGTCTGCATCTTAATCAGTGTTTACCTGCCCCTAGCTGCTGCACATGGGTCACATTTACATTGGTGACCGTAGTAAATATGTACTAATCCGCATTAGAGTGTTACCCAGTGTTACTACCTAGTAACACAGTTGTTGTTTTTTTTTTTTAGGAGTATGTGTGTGTATGGCTGGGTACGGTTCTGGAATATTGTTTATTAATTTTTAAAGAATCCAGCCTTTTATTTAAATTTATTCTTCTGTGGTGGTAAACAACCAAGGTAGAGTGTGTAAGAAATCATTGTATTAATACTGACTATAGAATTAAAGCTTGTATGTAGTGCATAGCAATAAGACAAGGAGCAATGGCCTAAAACTTGAACTTAGGAAGATCAATACTAGCATGCGGAAGAACTTCTTTATGGTAAGGATGACAGAGCAGTGGAACAGCCTGCCCATAGAGGCTGTGGAGTCTCCTACGGAGATTTTCTAGGCCCATCAGGACAGCTACCTGTGTGACCTATTGTAGGGCACCTGCCTTAGCACGGGGTTGGACTCAGTGATCTCTTAAGGTCCCTTCCAACATCTCCATTCGCTGTGATTCTGTAATATAGTTAATCATACAGTGAAGAAAAATACATTATTAAAGTAAGGGCAAGGACCATATCCTTAAAAGCCAATTGTTTGCTTAGTTTTACCTTAAAAGAGGAAGAAGGTTAGAATATTATAGATAACATAGACTTTACTAATTAATTTAAACATGTGATGTCAAACAATTCTGATATGCCCACACAAAGTGGTTGACAGAAGGTGTCTTTTCTTTTACTCTGAAACTTCCAGAGAATTCTAACAGATTTATTCTTTTTCAGTGCAAAGGGATTGAGTGTGAGAGATGCATGAAATTGTAGTTTCTGAATTAAATTTGTGCTTTTTTACAGCAGTCAGTATTACTGTTGGTTTAGTAAAACATAATGATGTTCCTCTCCCACTTCAATGTGTTCATGGTTAAATGATATACAAGATGGTACAGGAAATAAAAAACCTATGCAGCTCAAGTTACAGAAATCTGGGAGCTTGTGAGAGCGCACTGACAGTGATACTGGATTGGACTGTGAAATTCAGAAGTTCCTCTGCATGGTGTTGGGTTGCATGCAGACCCACAGGGGGTGATGTGGCTGTGCAGCTTCTTGCCCTGGGGGCTGCAGTGCCTGCAGGTGACCTTTGCCTGCGGCTCTGGTAATCCTCTCTGATTGTATTTGCTGAAGGTTCTTAACTTCATAACATGTATAAATGATGTATTAACAGCCTACAATATGCCTTCCATTATCTTTCTCTTAGAAGTTTTATACCAAGCTAAATCCTTTAAAATTAATGAAGTGTTTGTTGTTATTTTGATGTTATAGGCTGAAGTTAGACCATTATGTGGACCACATATGGTGAATTTCTGCAGCATTTTTTCTCAAGTCCCTATTTTCAAATATATTAGAATCACCAGGTTTTCAAAAAGAAGTGGATTTTAGCTTGTGCAGAGGTAGTATTTTGCTATGATCCTGAACTTAATGGCTTTAAAACAACAACAAACCTTACATTAAAGCCGCATACAGTTTTTCAGATTTTGCTCCACTTTGCTGAAGATTTAAAGTAAGCAGTTGTCTTCATTAGGAATCAGAATAAATATGCACATTTGAAGATGGAAAATATATTTCAATTCTTGAATTTTTCTTGTATGTCATGTTTTAATTATGTTTGCCATTTCACTGACATAGGTGAACAATGACAAGCATAATTTAAAGTATATAATCTTACAAAATGCAATCTGTTCCCTGTGCTATACTTTGTGAAATAGTAGGAATAACTTCCTGCTGGCTGTGTGGTGCTGTTTCCATGCTCCTAGCCACCAGTTACTGAACTGCAGCAGCTGGAAGAGCTTTAGGAGGGAGATGCTGATAGTCGAAGTAGAAAAATAAAACATTTTTGATAATCCCCTACTGATTGCAGTACCTTTAGTTAACACTAAGAAAGTAAAATGTGGGTTTCGCAAAATGAAGGCAGGCTCTTGACAGGTAAAATTCTATGAAGTGTTTTCAGTGAGATGAAAGTACTTTTTTTTTGTTTTGTGTGTTTTCTTGTTTTTCTGTTCCCCCAGCAGTAGGTTATATGTGGCAGATGGTTTTGAAACACAAAATACTTCGTGGCCCATATAAAGTGAATTAATTCTGACTGTATTCCTGCCTATAGGAAGAGATTGCAACGAATGTGGTGCCAGCCCTCATGCGTTTTTTAATCTTCCCTGGTGTGTGAGCTGTTCTAAAGCTTATGGAGGCATTCTTAGATGAGCTGGATGGAGTCTGTGTGCTTCAGTCTGTGTGAATGTTCCCGGTCTACTAAGGAGGAATGCTTCTGCTTTTTCTTTGTTGTATTGAATGCATATCTGAAAATGGAATGATGTAATAAGATAAACATCTTTTTATTGAAAATTACGGTAGAAAACTTGGTGAAAATATTCTTCCACAAGTTGCTTAATTTGATGAATTTTAGTAGGCCTTTAATTAGATGATATTAGGTTGCATAGAATTAATCAGTGATAACTAAGAAGACAGGAATGTTGAAAGATGAAATGTTGTACTAATAATTTTACCTGAATTGATACTAGCCTAGAGTATGTAATTTCTGTAGGCTGAAGTACCCCAAGAAGTATAAGTGCTGAAATTGAGGCTCTGTTGGCAAAGCAGCCTGTTTAAATTTCAACAGCAGAGTATTCTGAGAGGGCTGCAAGTTAGAAATGTGCTTCTCTATCATTTAGCTGTATTCCTTTCTGACCTGTGTGATCATAGGTTACCGTGCAGGTAAAAGCAATGCTTTCATGTCATAAAAGGAGTTGAGCTTGTTTAGTTTGATATTATGCCATTAACTTTTAACTTACGGGACAGTTCAGGAGCCTCGGTGTTGGGCAGTTAACAGAGCCATTTCCTGGTCTATGCCCTGTCTCAGTTTATGGAAGAAACCCCAGTAGCTACCAGTTTGTTGAAACAGTGGAAGTTTGAGTTACGTTGGCTTGCCCAGTGACTGAACCCATCTGATCTGAACTCATGAAGCTAGATTTTCTGCCTCTTAAAACCATAATTTTATTACTTCTTCCTTTCATCATCTTAATTCCTTCGCTGACACAACACGTGGTGGGGAACACATCCGTGGGGCCTGCTGTGTGGTCTGCATGTCTACACCCTGGGTCTTGATTCTGTTTATAACTTGCACTGCTGCCATGGTGATGCTTGTGACATCGCTTGTTCAATGACACACTGTCAGCACAGAGAGTGGTAGTAAAGAGAGGGAGCCTAAGAGAACCTTGTTTTGAGACACACATCTCTTCCATTATGACTCAGTGTGCCATGAAACATGAAAAAACAATGGAGAGGTAATTGTGCACCTATGTGATAGATACATTTAGAAGCTTTCCCTATTGAGTTTAAACTTGTAACTTAAATTGAGGGTCAGAGAGTTATTCATTCAGCTTTGAAACTTGCACTCCTTTTAAGAGCACAAGAAGAAGTGGTTGAGGGTCGTCTTGAGCCACAAGTTATTTATGGATGGTTCAAGCAGAAATCCCAGTCTGGGTTCAGTTTTCCAGGAGCCCTTTAGAAGGCTGTGCCAGCACATGGCCACAGGTCAGCTTGAGCTTTGTTTGCTGGGAGGTGTGAGGCACGAGGCTCCTACTGCAGGTGGTGCTGGCTGCTGTGGGAGCCTTGCAGCTTTCCAAAGGGCATGTTTGAGAGCTCATGGCTGTATGAATGAAGATTTTACTACGGTTAAATTGGAAGAAGAAACTTCCATTAGTCCAATAGTTTTGAGAGAGATTATGTATTTTCTGTTAGTTTCTTGCTGCAAGTATAAAATAGTCTGTTGTTGCTCTTTTGTACCTACACGCCTGATACACCCTTCATACAGCGATGTTTGTGTATGCATACAGCTGTATTTATGTACGTATGTACTTAATTTTAGACGGATGACCATGGAAATGGTTGAATCACAACAGGATGATAACGCAGTGGATTCTATGCCAGATAGAGACGTTGTTCACAATCGCAGTCAGCCAGACAAACATGAGATTTCCTCAGCATCTCAGGTAAGTTGGAATGTGGAAAGCTGGGAAGAGTCAATAAACTGACATCCAGAACTGTTATGGTTTTTTATTGTCTACTGCAAAAAATGCAACTTGAAGTTCTGATGTTCTGTAAGTCTTGGATTAGATAGGAAAAACAGCGAACGTATACCAAAAAACAATGCCTGCTATATTTAATAAAGCTAATATTACATCAGATCTTTTAAAGGCAACTCCTTTAGGAGCCTGTGCTTTTCAAAATGATCATTAGGCATATTTTTCACTTTTCTCAGAAAATTGTGTCTATTTTGCAACTGGATCTAGGGTCCTAAAGAGTTGAGGTGGCCCAAAGATCAAACAGTAGAACTGTGTATTTTGAAGCTGTGTTGTATAATGAAAATGAATAAAAATAGCCATGGATCTTTCCTAGATTTTTGTATAGAATGTACTTCATCTTGCAAGTGTAATTTTAATTTATGCTTGTTCTGTTTCATCTTCGTGCATCTGATGTCAGTGTCTGCATTTCTAAAATGTACGTGTTCTACATAGTGATAGTACCTGGATTTTTCTTTGGTAATTAAGAGATAAAGGTGGCATGACAAGTTTCAGTCATTAAAAAGAAGCACTGAAAGATTCTGCACTTGAGAACGTTCTAGGCAGTGCTAAGCCTTGTAGCTTTGAGATGTCGTGTAGGCCCCTTAGAAGAACCTCCAAAAACCCTTTGTGAAATATAGGAACTGATGTAAAAAGGAAACAATCAAAACCATCTTAGAGAATTTCTTCCACATCAGAATGTAGAAGTTAGTAATACAGTTCCAACAAAGGGCTTAATTATTTTGTGCCATGTGTATGGTGTGTTAGGTACTAGACTTACGTTATAGGTTTATTTTTGGGAGCATAACTGGCTTTTTGTGGATCTTTAGTTGCCAAGTAGGCTGTAAAATGTTTTTGAATGCTTGTTTATTTTTGTTACCATTGGTATTTGTGGTTTTGATATCTGCATCATTGGGAATCCTGTCTTTTTTTTTCTCTTTCTTTCCCTTGAATGGAGCATGAAGTCAAAAACTGTATTTGTTGTAATTTGCTGATTTCACCCCTTCATTTTGTCTTTCTTTGATAGTTCAGGCCAAATTTTGTATTTTAACAATAGATTTTACATGCAGATCATTATCTCATCTCAGGTGGCATCTCAGTACTGGAGTGCTGCACAGTGATGACTGATGAGATTCAGTCATTCCAGGCACAGGCCTTTTGTCTTTCAGTTGAAGCTAATAAATCTGGAAGCGCTGCTGAATCCCTGTCAGTTAGCAGCAAAACAGAGCATATGGAGTGTGATTCAGTTTGAAGCCTCAGGAGTGCAGCTTGGAGTTCACACTTGCTTGTTCCTCACTTTGGTTAGAAGGCCTGAAGAGCTGAACTGAGCTTGCGGCTGTGCGAGAATCCAGTTGCCTTTGGAAGCTGTTTGATACAGAAAGCTTCATGCTTTTGGTAAAGAACAGAGGCATGAGCTGGAAAATTTCTCAACTTCTTTTCATAAAGGCTCCATGGGTTCTGTCTCATATACGTAGGTACTTGTTTAAAAGCAGCTGTACGTAAGTAAAGTAAGTTGATTTGAAAGAAAACATCTTTGTCACACGGATGATAGTCAAACTTGCAACAGTTGCGTTGTTATTTCAAGTGAAATCAATGTTCCATTTGCAGTATTTCTAGAAGCTGTATTGCACCGTATGTTGTCCTGTGGTCAGCCAGACAAATATACTAAGTATAAAAAGGAGGAGGAATCTATTTAGATTGTAAATTGTAATAAAGTACTTTCAGTTCTGTTTTCTTTGTTTGTTTGTTTTGTTTTGTCTTTTTTTTTTTTTTTTCCCTTTAGTTCTGCATCCTTGGTAGATTCTTTGTGTCACCTCTTGCATTTGTCATATTCTGTCTATTATTAGAGCTGTGCTTGCTACCTTGATCCAAAATATTGTTGGTTGACCTCACAGTGCTGGCTGTGAACCAGACTCAGGTCAGGATTTACAATGTGAGAACTGCTTTCAGAGGGATTAGAGGGACTTTTCTGATGCACAGAGTGCACAGCCGTTGCAAGCTGGGACTGCTCAGGTTTAGCATTTCAAGGGCACTCTCCTGTGGGTCTCAGCACCTAAGTGGGTTAAATCTTCCTCCCAGGAGACTGAGCACTGTTGAAGCTTACCACACGGTTGCAAATATGGTTTTAAAACCAGCCTGCCAAGTGCAAGTCCAGGGCATTTTTCAAAGTAGATACTAGAGCATTACAAAACTGTAGCTTTGTCACTACTGTGCTCTTCCTCAAGGGTATGCTCTCACCAAATGGCTGGGAGCAGTCATTTGACTTCTTTACACCTAGGAGTTTCCTAATCGTTATTAGCTTTGCAATTAGCCAAAGCTTTCCTGTCTTCAGCTTTTCCTCACAGAAGCTAGGCAGTGCTTGTGTGATGAGCCCTTTATTTTCCTGCTAGGTGAATTCGCAGTGGGTTTGCTCTGTCTTCTTTTTTTTCCTGAAGTACCTCACTTTTGGAGTCCTTGTAGCACTCGGTTTCTGTAGCTGCAACAGAAATGACATGGAGCTGTGTGCATTGTACTTCATACTATCTATGTTTGAGTTATGAAACATAGGCTGTGAGTGTAAACTCTGTAGTAGGAAAAGTTATCTGACCTTGAATGACAAGAGTGTGTGTGTACACAGTTCATGAGTTCGTGTACAGCTGTTCAGTGACTGTGCATCTTGAAGTCAGAGGACTGATAAGTAACCTTTCTGAAAGAATGCATGCCTCAGTGTGAAGATAATTCATGTTTGGTTTTGGGGGTGCTTTTTTGCTTGCTATGTTTCTGTGCTTTCTTGGAAGAAGGATTGCTTATTTCCAAACATCCGCAGTATGAACCCGAATTGCTATAACAGAGTGTATAATTGGTATTTGTTGAAGTGATTAGACTACTGTAACACAGCTCAGACCCCAGAGGCTAATACAACATCTAAAATCTCTTTGCTATTGCTGAAATGTAACTCTTACATGGTTTGCTTGGGTGCTTCATGTGTTAATCTCCCCTCACCCCCTGCATTACTGAATTGCTTGTGGTTGGTTTTCAGTTGGTGCAAGACATCCCTTGGAGGATGATGTCGTAGGTAGCATTGCTCATCGCTGATGTCAGGAAGCGATGTTGTGTGTTGATTTGTTTTTTTATTTGCCAAGGCTGTTTTGGTCAGCCTCCAAAAGCAAAAGTATTTTGGCCAACACAGAAGTGTTCCATTTAAAGATAATGCTAAATAACATGTGAATCAAAATTATTTTAACATTTTTAACACTTATAAGAGAGATGAAAAATACGAAGTTAGATTTTCTAAGTCATTGTTCTTGGAAACAAACCTAATACAGAATGATCACAAATTTAATGTGTAGTTTACAGGAACTAAAATAACATGAATGTGCATGCTGTTTAACCTCCAGGTAATTGTGAAAACCCAGCAAGCAGCGATCAAATAGAGATGTTTAAAACAGGTATAAAAGAACAAACAAATCACTTTTTGTTTGATCCAGGTTTAAAGATACCATTCTCTTCCCTCCTCCTGTGCTCTCCACTCCCCATTTAATCTCCTATCTGAATTAATAGGAACAAAGCAATTTCTCCTGTGATACTGTAAAATGTATTCTAAGAGTATTAGCTGTGTCCTTCCCCTCCCCTCCCCCTCCCCCCCTTCCCCCACGGTGTTTAGACTGAATAAGAAGCTTTTAAATGAATACAGTGTTTCTTAATTTTGAGTGCTGGTTTACTTTCTGATTATATGTGCCTGACCCATTGTGTACTGAACACAGAAACTAATATACTGTTCATGTTGCACTGCTTTGTGTGTGTTGTGCTCTGCATGTTCTTTCTGATACACTATCGAATCGTATCACATTACTGCTGTCTTTGAGATCTGCAAGTTGAAAGGTTAAGTGGAATTGCTTAATGTTTTGAGAGGTTAGCAAGCTCTGGGACAGTTCCGACTGCTCCATGCTCTTTCCTTGAAGCTTAGGGTTTAGGATGACAACAACCGTGCCAGACAGAAAGCAGACCATACTCTTCAAATCTTCAAGCTATTCAAAACATTCTGGATCTCAAATATGTATTTCTGATGATAATGTTGGTATTTGTCTTATAGTGCGGGAGGAAAGCTTGTATATTTTATGTACACGTTGACATCTAATGCCAGCTAAGGAGTGATTGTTTCCATTTGAGAGTTAGAAATGCCTTCAATTGTCTTATTTCCTGAAAACCTGATCAGTTTACTACAACAATTGAATGATTACGCAGTGAATGCTGACAAGATCCTGTCTCTGTTTCCTAGAAACATTGTTTTGTCAAGGTATTTGAGCTAATATCTGGTCTTCTTGACAGTAGCCAACAACTTTCTCTTGTCTCAAGAAAGGAAAGTGTATCAGGCAAGAAGCAACTTAAAAGTCATGGAATTCAAAAAAGGAAAAGAAATCACCTTCAGGGTGAATATGGAAAAATACGAAACTCTTTAAATAGAATGATTCTATTATAAATATCTTCTTCTACATATTCAACGTTAATCATGTTTTTCTTCTCGCTCATCAATTTTTACTTTTGCTACTCATGCTAAGTACATTATGGGGCTGAGAAAGAATGGGGAAAATAGCAGAATCTTAGATATTACTTAGGGTTTATTCTCGTACATGTAGAAATTAGGGTTTTCTAATGTAGTCCACTTGGAAAAACATTGTTGTATAATTTTAGGAAGTTGTAACTTTCTTCCTTTTCACATTGAGTTTCAGGATATTTCATCACAAAGAACTTGAGAATAATCATAACGCTTTCCGTTTTGATATCTCTATGTCTGTTAATAGATTTAACAGTAGTAGCATAAATTTGAGCTCATTCTTAGTCTGCTCTGTTTCTTTACTACTTAACACATTCAGCTCAGTACTGATGATTGAGAACTGTGGGCTGGGCAATGCTGTGTGTCTGAACAATGCTAAAATGTCATCAGGAAGAGGGCTCAGATGTATTCCTGAACAGAACAAGGCCACCATTTTCTTCAGCTGGGCTAAGTTTAAGATTCGTCTGTTCTTTATTGTTATATCAAAGTACTCTAACTCTGCTTTTCTTGTTACTGTAGAATATGTAAAGAGGATTTATTAAACTAAAACAACTTGGAATTCCATGTATTGCTTAAATACTTTAATTTCTTCCAATCCTAAAAATTATCGTATCTCTTTGAGACATCTGTCTCAAGATCAAAAATTGAAACTGAATTTTTAGCTCAACAAAGCAAAAAACGGTTCTGGATGTGAGACTAAGAGCATTCTGTTCTATGTGTTGTCAGTGCAACATACTTGAATAAGTTCTGCTATTTTTGAGTGCGTTACTTGAGGTTCTTCCTAACGCTAGGGACAGCAGATTTAGTCTGTGATAGGTTAGGGTTATTTTTTATTGAAAACGTGAAGTCTCTGGAGGAAAAGAAGAAAGTAATTAAAAAGGTTTTCAGTTCGGTAGAGGGCAGTTTAAGTTTCTGACATCATTTGGAAAGATACCAATTTTTTCCTGCTAAAACCAGTGTATTTCTGTGTGTGATAAGTACACATGTTTGAGCTGTTTTAGATACGACATCAGAACCAACTTGTTTTAGTATTGCTTCTAAGAGCCCTTAATAAAGTCTTCAGACACGTGACTTACACACCACGACTGTAACTTTTGCTGGTTTCTGTACCTGCATCAAGTGCTGGAAAAGGATCTCCAGCAGTATCTATCTCTACAGCAGTTGTCTCCTGATCAAACAGTTCATGGCCAGGGTGTCATTCAAGCCACGCAGCCCTCAGTCATTCAGTCACCACAAATGCAAGCTGTTCAGGTCAGCTCTGCTCTTCTTTTTTCATGAATGTTCGGTCCCTCCCTATTTGTGCCCCATGTCAGTTCATTCCTACCAGTGCTGGGAGGTTTACTCACACAGTGTAGGACGGGGGGTGGGGAGCAGCGTGATGGCAAACGGCCAAGTGGTAGCAGCACGGCAGGCATTGTGTAGCGATTCCTTCGTGCTTCCTGTTTATCTGTTAAGAAACTGTGTGTCGGAACCTGAACTTGTGCAACGGCACATTTGTGTAATAGCGTGACCTGCTTTAGTGCATTTCGCAGTTTTTCTGTTCTGTTTGATTCTATGAACATCATGTTCTAATGAAAACGAGCGAGTATCTTTTATACTTTCTGAGAGCATCTGGATATAATGGAAGTAACAGTTTTAAATGATTGCTTGTTGCTTTTGTAGGCTCTGTTGGATCGTGTGGTGTTGCTTTTTGTGGGCGCATAGTTGTAAAGAGCAAAAATAGGGGCAGCTTCAAAAGAAGCACTTATTTGGCAAAAAGTTATGTTTTAACGTGCTGAAAACAGACTGCTGCAAAATGATGAATTATTTCCAGAGCTTTTAAATAGTGAAAAAGACTTGAGAGAATATAATTTTGCACTAGTTTGAAAATGTTTAGACAGGCCTCCAGTTCATGCTTTTCTTGTAGTTAGGAATATTTTTGATCCAGTTTTCTTAAAAACTGACCATGAAATGTAAGTTGAATTGCTTCTTATGAGTAAAATTGATCATGTCTGCAAAGAGAGACCAATTAAATTACACCTGGACTGTTCTACTGGAAGTCATTGCAACATGTTGAAGAAAAGGTCTTATGCATTGTCACTCTTCTTGAGAAGCAGCTTCTAATGTTTGAAACTTAAGAGTAGCTTTTAAGTATAGTAGATAAAAGTCATATGTAAATGTTTTTATCTTAGCAACTAGAAAACAAGAATGAAACCTTTTTGAGGTATTCACCATCTTAATTGTAGGGGCACACGATGGGATACGGTAAGGTTTTGAAATTCTAGTTCACTACTGACAGGGCTCAGTAGATAGCAAAGGACTTGTGTTTGGTCAAGCTTGAAGTCAAATTGAAGTTTTCAAAAGGATTTTTTTTTTTCCTCTGAATTTGTTTCTAACTGTAATTTGCCAGAGTGAAATAATAAGCTTCAGCAAATAAGTACCCTTTAGTCTTTCCCAGTTTCTGTCATTGCATTTCTTAAAGTCGATATAGTTGGGACACTCACACAAAAATAGACTACTTTCTTCAGAGCTCAGAAGGAGGAATTTCTCCAGCATCTCTTGCCAACTGCTGTTGCGTCTTCTTAGGGGAATGGGAATCAACTGTTTGTTCCATTGTGTCAACTTGACCTTGCCTTTCCCAAAGGAGTAGAGATGGGAAAGTTGTGTCCTGATTGATATTGATTAGTTCCAGATTTTGGCTTTGCTTTCATTTGAGCATGCTAACGGTGAATAATGTGACCCTACCAAAAGGGAGGGGGCAGGAAAAAGAGCCTTGTGAAGGACTCCGTTACAAAGGTTGGTAGGCCCTCCTGTGATCTTCTTAAGTACTTTATCCTGCCACCTGGCACTTTCTCCAGATTGTCTGGCTTTAATTTATGTCTTGTCTATGCCAGATAGCAGGAGACTTGGAAAATGGTAACAATTGAATTAAAAACCAGACAAATAGAAACTGAAGGCTCATGTTAAAGCCTGTATGACCTCTCTCTCAGACACCTGCAGCTTAAAGCTGCTACAGTTTTTTCTTGTTAACCCATTGCTTTTTGGATGAAAAAATACCTGTATTGCGTTCCTTGTTCTACTGCTGTTCTTTTAATTGTAAGAAGGTTTGCAATTCAGATTTGACTTTCCTTCTTGCTTCTTCTCCCCTGCAGTGTATCAGGTTTGGCAGTTTGGGCATGAGCTCAAAGTTATTTTTGCTCAAACGCAGAGCAGTGTGTTAAAGTTGGAAAAGTCTGTTTAATGGCTGGGAAAAAATGGCAGAGGTTTCCATTTGGAAGCCTTATAAACATGGTTGCTTGCTATTAGAACAAACTTACATTACATTTGTCTAATTTCTTCTAAAAAATTAGAACTCCTGAAGTTTACTGCAGAAAATCTCTTCCTCTACATAAAAATGCTTCCTTTCTCTTGTGATTTTCTTACCCTTTTACCAAAGTACTACTGTTTCTGACTTCTTAGTCTGCCTTCATAATGAAGGGGTGTTTATGAATGGAATGAGAAGGTTAGAAGCCTCTAATGTCTTGTTTTCCTGCTGTTTGTCCTGGGACAAGTTCTTTTTTCCTTCCTCTGTGGACTAAAAACTCTTTTTGAATTATACTGCCCAAGCTCTTGGCTGGGCTGTGGAATGGTGCCTTAGTTGTCAAGGTTTATGACAGAGCCTTGAGGACTGATCCACCAGCAGGTCACTGTAGGGCTCTTCTCTTGGGTTGTGTTTTGTTTTCGGACTGCTTGGGCCTGGCATCTGTGTTACTTTTTGGGTAATGATAATAAAATTCTGAGAAAATGAGACTGTGTGAACTTGTCAGGAGTTTGTACAACTTGCATAGTATTGCTAAACAGCGTATTTGTTTGTATGGATGTGTTGATATGTGTAATTTAATAAATGTATATTTAAATAAACTACTTTTGTAAATAGTTTTGGTGTGATTGTGAAGAGGCTTCTGTGTATACTATTATTTCAGGTGCACTAATGCAGTATTCTGTATTTAAAATGTTAAATTTCAACTAATTCTGTGATATTATTAAGTTTAAAGAAATCCTCTATGTTTAAGACTGTTGCTGATGTCATTCAAAATGTGGATTCCACATGTGATGTGGATTATTACTTTTTTTTTTCTAAATGGAAGGTGTCACCTAAGTGCTTGTGTTGCTAATCATAGTTGGTGATGTATTGTAAAAAGAGACATTACAAATCCTGTGATTTATAATTTTAAAAAAGGTAGATAAACTTTCTGTATGCAACCACAAAAGCTTTTTTTTTTTTTACTTTTTTTTTTAAAATGAAGTTATGAATATTAGGAACTTTGCTATTACAGGTAGCATCGGTTGCAGATGACTCTGCAGAATCGGAAGGGATAACTGATACTCAGAAACGTAGGGAAATACTTTCAAGAAGGCCTTCATACCGGTAAGGACTTTTGATTTTGGTTTTGCTGGTTTTTAACTTCAGCTTATGTGTAACAGCAAAACTGTCTGATCAAAGGCAGTGACTTCGTTTCCCATGGGTATGGAATTTCAAATATGTCAAAGTATCTCTTTTTCTCTTTCAGAAAAATTTTGAATGAACTCTCTTCAGATACTCCTGCAATCCCAAGGATTGAAGAAGAAAAGTCAGAAGAAGAAGGACCTGGAATTTCTCCACTGTCCATTCCAAGCAGCCTGTATCATTCTAGCACAGGGCAATTCAGTATGTTTGCAAAGATACTGTGTTTTGTTGCAGAACAAAATAGGAACAGTTCTTTTTCTTAAAGTTCCATAATGAAATAGAGATGTCTTGCTGAGAAGAATGAGAACTTCCCTACTTCTAATTAATCCTGATTTTTATATTTCATTTCTCCTGATGTGGGCACGAAAAACGTTTAGTCTTTTTCCTATAGTGTTCGTTGATTACTTGACTTAGTCCTTCTGGGATTCCTAAGCAGTTAAAATGTGGAGGTGAGGCCTGGGTGCTGTGCCAGATGTTGGCACTGGTCTGTATTGTATGTGAATGTGCAGTGTTATAAATCCCTGTGGTTTCTTAGCACTGTGATTTGCTGTGTATTGGTGTTATTCATGAAATAACAATTAGTGAGGTAGTTTTTTAAAGTGTGGGATTGGAGTATGAATTTTTTTCTTTTTCTCTGGCTGTCACGTTTTAACTCTGTTTTAACTGCACCATTAACCTAAACTGTGGTCTCCAGTATTTGATATTTCATCCAAAATCAAGTTCCAAATTGGTTTCATAGTTCGGTTCTATGGAACTTTTTTTTTTCATTCCTTTGTTGATGTTGAAAACATGGCACAGCTCACTCCCCATAGCTTCTTGTGCTTAATCATTGATCACCTAAGAGATACCTTCCTAATAACTATTTTTTAAATTTTGTGTTTGATAATGCTTTGCTCCTACAGGTTTTTTTTACTTTTGTTTTAATACCTTTCTTGGTGTAGGCATGCTGAATGCAGGTATTTTTCCTTTGATATAATGACAGGAAAATTGGAAAAGGCCTGTTGTTTTCTGAAAAAGTCTTTTGAAGACAGAGGGCATCTATTAAAACATTAACAGCAGAATATAAAAAAGATAGAACAGCTCCCTCTGTGCCACGTGCTAGTTAGTCACTTTTCTTCAGTTATTTTTAATGTGTACAACTGAAGTCATTATAAAATCTGAGACAGCAGACTTTGCATATATCTACTCTTCTGCATAGAAAGTAATGTTGCTTGGACTTTGCTAGCATCTGAAGTGCTCTTTTCCATGGATTTCCTGCCATGCTAAATGGCAGTTATCCAGTCCAGAATCTGCAGCTCTCCTTGATCGAATTAATTTTATTTTGTTTACTTGTGTGATGGTGGTGCTTTGTTTGTTTGGCTTTGATTTAGCTTTAGAAAAATATGCACTCTTTCCAGGCTCTATAGAGTTTGTAATATGCTCTAGTGAGCTTTCAAATCTTTCAGGCTTTGGATTTCTTAATCAAATATTGCTCTGGGAAGCCAGACTTGCGGTTTAACTAGCAATATCTTGCAGGAAATCATTCTCACTTATTAAATTAAAGGATGTTTTAGTTTGAATGTGCCTTTAAATCAAAAATATAAATCATGGAGAAGTGTGTAAAAGAATAAGAAATTCTCATTTTTTTTTTCTTCCTTGTTCAAGCAAACTTTTACTCTTGAAAAATCAAGAAGCAGAGAGCATCACCAACAATGGGCTTGAATTAGCAGAATTCATAAAAAATTAATTAAATCTCATTTATATTAATGCAAGCCTGGCTTTAGCGTGGACCAAATATAGAAGAATTCTGTTTTTTCATTCAGTGTGCTTTATTTGCGATGTAAAATATTTGCAATATTTTTAAGAGAACTGTATTTATTTACTCATTTTTGTTTAATGTGTTCTCAAATGTGAAGAGGCATTGCTTCAGGATGTCAGTCTTCGTAGGTCCTGCTGATTCTGGCTTAAAAAAATCATTTTGACCAAATTCATTTTGAGAGCCTTGTCTTCCCATAAATGGCTTCCATATCCAATTCATTACTTTGACATTTGATGTAAAAAATGATATTAAACTCTTAGGTGCTGCTCATTGCTCAGGTGCTCAGAGATACTCCTTGTCAGAAAAGTTTAGATCTGAGGTTAGATTCAAGTGGTAGCAAGGTTGGTCATCTTGTAGTAGATGCAGTCCTAATTTGGAAAGTGTGGCTGTTTACTTCTGGTTCTTACAGTTGAAAAGCAAAGATCCACAACATTTCTGATATGCTGTGCTGTTGGCTGCCCATGATTCTGAGCAACTGCTGTCAGCCAAACCCAGGGACGCTGTGTGGGAATGCAACATTGCCTGTGTTGATTTCAGCCTGGATATGAAGCAGGAGCTTGCTACGTGTATCTATTTTAGCTTTGTTTCCTGTCAGTTGTTTTTCTACTTCTGCTTATCATTATTGTGTTTGAGTACTCTCTCCTTGGCCACAGCTGATTGCATGAGCTCTCCTGTGTATGCAGCCAGCAGTTTATAAAGTTTTTTATGGTGTGCAAGGCAATGAAGAACTGGTCTCATGGTGTCACTGTAGAGATCTGTACTGTGGCCTGCTTTTAAAAAAAACCATATGTTACTGAATTTACTGGTTCCTTGTTTTTCTCTACTGTTCTCCATATTCCTGCATAGAAGAGGCAGAATAGCTGAAAAGGTGGTCTTGACTGTATGTTGGTGTCTGGAGGCATGGAATGATTATTTTTGGAAAAACTGGATAAGTAAATGTATCTTAAAATCAAATATATTTTTCTGTTATCAGTGGTGATGGCTGTTCTTTCCTTACTTTACACCAGCCGAAATGCTGTGTTATCTTGAATATCTTTCCCCGTTACATCCATCAACAGGGATGTTGATCTTTCTGTAAGGAGAATTTGTATCTTTTCGTAAGGTGCAAGCCACGTAGCCTGTTTTGGCTACAAAATGACTCTACTGGCTGTAGTTCTATCATACTGGTTATTGAATACTGGAAAAAAATTGTTTTCCTTCACCTGTGGTGGTGGCCTAAGAATTATTTGCATAGTTGGTGTGTAGTGATATGTGCGCGTGTGTGTGTGTGTGTAAGAGAGAGAATCAGCTGTCCTTCCCCTTCTTTTCTGCCTCTTTGTGCAATTTCAGATGTTCTTCCAGGAGCAATGCAGGGAAAATGAAAATAGATGGCAAGTTTTTTTGCCATCTATTTGGATTTTTTGCTGTCTTTGGATGGGTTTTTAGCAATTGAGGCATTAGGAAATGTACTGGGAAAGAGCAGCTTTTAGTTTCTTTTCCCTGTCTAGGTAGAGATGGGAAGATCTAACCTCTTTCTGAATTAGAGGTGTTAATCATATTCAAAGAATTGTGTTATTTTCATCTTCAGTTCTAGCTAGAGGAGAAGCTGCCACTTACATCCACCTGCATCATGTACAAGACGAGGGAATGTCTGGGAATATTGTATAGCCTTCTGTGAAGCCACAGTTTTGAGCAAAGGTCCAGTACAAGAAATACCTGTGTTGTGGTTGGGCTTAGGAGAATTACTAGGCTGAGGAGGAGTGTCATGATCTTAATATGATAGGAATCAGTCCTGTAGGGGAAATGGTTACCAAAGTTACATTCACTCTTGTTTTGAAAGTATTGGGTCATGAATTGAATCAACAGTTGAACTGATTTTTATATATCTATTAATTTAACCAGCTGATTACACAGCATTATTTTTTATGGGGTGTGTGGGAACTGCTGAGTCATGGCCTGATTGAACACCTGAGGTGAACAATGAGTCAGCCATGGGAGCACAGGTGAAGGCAATTCTCCTGTGCTGCTGGAAGGGCTGGAGCCTGGCTGCACCTCTCCTAGGCCCATTTAAGAGCTGACTGCCAGTGGGGAAGGATCTGTTCTGGAGATCTCTTTGGAGTTTTATAGTGAGCCCAGGATAAGAGTAAGCGTTCTATCTGTTCTCTTTTTGTTTAGACAAACTTTCTTGTTTATTTGGTAATTGTAACGTCTGTATACCCATTGATTTTACAGTGGGGAAAGTGTTTTTTTCTTATTGTTGACCAAATGGAAGCAGAGCTTTGTTCTGTTTCTCTTTTTATGTAATAATCTGAGCAGTTTTATAGGACTTGGAAAATGTTGGTGGTCTAAACTTCCACTTAAACTAAGGAAAGGAGGTGGAGTGAGGGTGAAATGAATTCTTGTTCTTCTCTCTAGGCAACCTTGGTTTTATGTTGTGATTTGATAAAGAGTTTTTTTTTTTTTTTAAATAACCTTTTAATTCTAGTATTTAAAACTTTTGTTCTTTGTGGCTAGGAGTTACTAGTGTGTTGGTTTGTTTGTTTTCACTTTGTATTAAAATTACTGTAGGACCATCAATATTGTTGAACGTACAGTGGAAACAGGCTTCTGTTGCTTTTTTTTTAGTTTTTTTTTTTTTTTTTTTTTTTCCAGTTAGACACATTCATGTACTACGTAACAGGCATTATGTTTGAGGACAGCAGCATTAAGGTTATACAATTAAAGAAAAAAAATATTTAAATACAGTTGCTCCTTAAGCAAACAGGAAACCCACAGTCTTAGCAAAACTATGATTATTTTCAAAAGGAAAATGCATTTCAGCGTGTTGTACATCTTTCTATTGCCTAACCTGCCTTTTTCTTTTTATGTTCAGTTACTATAACTCCAGGTGGTACAATCCAGATTTCTAATCCATCTTCTGATGGTACCCAGGGACTGCACACGTTAACAATGACAAATTCAGGAGCTCCTCAGCCAGGTGCTACCATTGTGCAATACGCAGCACACTCATCTGATGGTACACAACAGTTTTTTGTTCCTGGAAGCCAACTTGTTGTTCAAGGTATAGTTTATTGCATTTTTTTATATGAAACATTTATTCTTACTAGACTTTTAGTTTTGCGTTCACAGTATTGCACTATGAGATGTTGTTGTATATATGTACCAGGATAGAAGAGAGTCTTAGAAGAAGACTGAGTTTCTCTCTTTGGGAAAGCAGCCATTTCTGTGGATCAAAAAAGCTACTATGAGAAGGAAATAACAGGATAAAATTACCCTCTGCTTTTTATTTCCTTGTCCAGACTTCAAGCGACATGTTTAATTGAAGTAAAGACACTTTTGTGGACTTCCTCATCATCTCAGTTCAAACTGTATCTCGTTTAATACATGAAACTATTTTGTTGGTTTTTTTTTTTTTTTTTCAGCAGTTTCAGTCTTCATACAACGCAGGTTCTGAAGTTACTTGGAAGTCTGTAAGGCTATTTTTAGGGCAGAATTTCCTTGCAACTTTTAACTTTCTGTTATTAAAAAGGAGATCCTGTCTTGAAGCTAATTTTCTCCCTGAGTTTTTCTACTTTTTAGGCTCTGTAAAATATACACATGTGAATTAGTGAATTCTCAAGCCTTCCTATAGTTTATCCAGAGTTTTCTTTCTGTTCACTGTTCCCACTCCTTCAGAAGGGCTGAAGGAGATCTGAACCAAGCATATCTTGGATTCTGACCAATACCAAGGAAAGTGAAGTTGGGGTTTTAAGTTAGTTTCAGGAAATTTTCCGGAATCAGGTACAAGGTCTTCTCTTCTGTATAGAGACGTGAAAATATTGGCTGCTATGGAGCCGTATGCTAAGTAGGTATTCACAGTGGATAAAGGTTATTGACTACATACTGATGGATACAGAATCTTCTAGTCCAACTTCCTTGCAGTGGGCAGGGATACTTCCTACTGGAGTGGGTTGCCCAAAGCTCAGGCCTTGTACAGCTCCAGGGATGTTCCGCCACTCCACTGGTGACCTGTTCCAGTGCCTCCCTGTTCTCTGAGTAAACATTTTCTCCTTTGGATCTAATCTGAACCTACCTTGTTTTAGTCTGAGATAAACGGAGAAGTCCGGGTTAAGAATTTTTTCACCGTAGTGTAGGTGTTAAGAGTAAGTTTTGTCTTTAAGTGGATGTTTTTCTTTCTTTGCTGTGAAGGAAGCTCAGGATGTAAATAAAGCTAAGAGCTTGTAAATACTTGAACTTGTTGAGAATGTACTAAATAGTTGTACCAAACCTGATTTTTTTTTTTTTTTTCCTGTTTTTTCTGGTTAATTATTTGCTGAAATACAATGTCTTTCTAATACTTTTAAAAAGCATTTCAAGCTAAGTTTAGGAGTAATATGAAGAACTCTGAAATGAAATGTTAGCCTTCACAATGCGTACATTATTGTTATATCTGCCTCAAGTGTTACCAGGAATATGTTCTCAGCAAAGCCTAAAGACCCAAATTTGTTTTTTCTCCATCCACATTTCCCATTCTGGCAGTGGAACATTTTTGAGTGTCTCACTTGCAATGGAAGCTTTCAAAATGGATTCAGAGACGGTTACTGAATAGCTGCTGCCTGTTTCTGGAAGCTTCTGGATAGTTACAACTAAATTAATTTGTTGTCTGTTCATGTTTAGAGAAGTTGAATATTTCTAGTGTTTGCTAGAGTTCATTTTGCCCAAACTCTGATGCTTTAGTGAGGCTTACAGTTGTTGACATAGAAGAAAAATTCTAGATAAAATATAAAGGAAAATATTCCCAACGAATACTAAGTGGTTATGAGCTCTGAAAGAGGTTTCAAATTATTATACAGTCTGGTACTGAAAAATCATTTGGAGCCAAAAAAAAAAAAAAGTATGAAAATGCCTGAAAATGTTTAAGCTAAGAGAGATGTTGTTCTGCTAAGCACATATCATCAACAAACCTGAGTTACTTGCAGTGGAGTGAAACAATGGGCTGGCAGGTCCTTACTGCGGGTCACATTGCTTGGTATGTCAGAAAGTCTGTAGGTATATAATTGATGAACATCTGTTGTCAATGCACGCTTGGTGGTTCCCTGTATGCCTGATATGGTGATAGCGTAGCTTATGATAGAAAAACAACATTCTGCTTAGTAAATTTTCACCTTCAACCTGTGCTTGATATTTTTCTGAAGACTTGTGATGAAATTGAAGGATGAATATAAAAGGGCAGAGGTCCCTGGGTGAACCAACTGTGGTACTTTGTTAGCTGCCCATTTATGTTCATTGGAAAAACAGGGCAGTTCTGATGTCATGATGGTTTCCTAAAACGGATCCAAGGTTTTTCTGCCAGCTGAAGGAAGTGAAGTGTGTAATTATTAGTGAAAATGAGTTTTGGAAAGTTGCATCAAATGGTATTCTGTGGATCAAGGTGTGTTTTCTTAACATGAAATATTTGAGAGATCTGTGGCTGGTACTTCTGGTGTACTTCAGTTCTGATGTTCTGTTCACGTGACACTGAAGCAGTCCCAGGATGACAAGGAGAATCCTTCATTGCACCGATGCTTTCATTTTTGCTGTCCTTGGCGTAGTTCCACGGCTGATGAATTGCCAGTCTAAATTGGTTTATCACAGACAAGGGCTGTGCTCTGTGTGCAGGAAAGTACCTGAACTGTGGGTTTGAAGCTGAGATGCTTGTTCATTGATTTATTTATTTTCATAAGCCAGCCAGTTCCCTTGCACTTTTTGAAGAAGGAGGGGACAGGTGAAGGGGTTGCCCTTCTTCAGGGTTACTGTTCTGCCTGATAGAGCATCTGAAATCCCTGGAGTTCTTTTCAGTCTCTTCTGAAGCTTTTAATTGAACTGAAATGAGTGGGCTGTGGTCTTCCCCTCCCTTTCCCTTCCTCCCCCCGAAGAGCTGTATGTAGCCTTTCATTTACGGATTTGTTACAGCTTGTTAAGCTCTCCTGCCTTACATGTCTGTCGGAGTTCTGCCTTCTGGTGGAGCTGCTCGAACCAAAACAATTGCACGTGTCCCTTTAAAATTTCCCTGTTTGCTGTCCAATTGTGATTTAATCCTTTTGAATCATTTATGAGTTCTGGAGTCACTTTTAATTTCTGTCAGTCGGTTCTGTGTATCTTGGTCTAGTTTTACAGCCAGCTCTGTGGTGAGTGCTTTATGTATAATTGAAGGGAAGAGAACAAAGCTAGGCTTACAGAAATACGGAGGGGGGGGGGGAACAAAAAAAAAAAAAAAAAAAAAAAAAACACACAACAAAAAAACGTTTACTGGAAAAGCAGCAGTTGTTTGGGCTGCAGTTTCAGTGAGCTGTTCCAGTGACAGAGCATATTAATGACAGTGGTAGGCAAGTGAGGTCACTGTGATGTCAGTGCTCTTGCTTGTAATCCCGCACATGCTTGCTAGTTTGGAACAGTTCATGCTGAGCTCTGGGAGAGGAGCAGGAGAACTGTGCTTGCAGGGGCTGAGCATGGCTGTTACAGGAGATGAAACAGGTAAATGTTCTATTAGTCTTTTACTGCATGTTGTGGCTGTTTAAGCAGTGCTTAGATGGTGTTTGTGACATTTTTTTTTCAACTTGTTGCTGTAACTCTTCAATCTCTCACAACTGACATAGGTGGGTTCTGGCTCTGGCTGGGTGGTGTTAGGTCTCGGTGTAATTTTATCAGTTTCATGTGAGGTGAAGAAATTGGTGTGAAAGTTGTTGCACAGATTGATGCAGGTAACGAATCTTTTTTGTTTGATGGAAAATTCTGTTGAAAAAATCCACCACTCTTTGAACTCCTGTAATATGGAAATAGTGTCTATGTTTGTCATTGTGTATTTGTTTTGTGGAAATGACACTTTTTTTTTTTTTTAGCAATAAACCCTGTAGATTCAATAGCTAGAATAGGCTCAAACGTAGCTGTGAAAGAAAGGCGTGTGCTGTTACGGTCGTGTAAATAAACCCTTTTACTTTCCTTATTAAGGAAAACAGTGAACATGAGCAGATAGAAAAGCAGCAGTTTTAAGTACTGCAACGTCTGCGTGTTTTCTCCTCTGCTGCTGAAATGGTCTGTTCCTCTGCTAATTGAGTTCAAAAGGCTGACGTCATTAGGCTTCCTGGAATCGTGTTGCAGTAGGGAACTGGAAAAGTTAAACTCCAAACAAGATACACATTGACGTCAGCCCCAAGTCATGCTGTGATTTAGTCAGTTCCTTTCTGCTTCGTCAATTGCCTCTGGCTGAGCTGTAACATTAACCAGTTTGCAGCCGGTACCTTCATGCTGCTCGGTGCTGGCATCTATTTTTTCATCAGCCTGAAGATACTTATCATCTCCAAGTCCATATTTTGTGCTCTTGTGCTCAGAGGAATAGTGATTCATGGCTTGCTTAGCTAGTTTAGTGGCCAAGTTTAAAGCCCTCTGATAATTTAGTCCTATCATTATGACTCAGAGGAAGGGAGCATAGATACATTAATGCATAGCATGTATCACGTTTTTTTCTCCTGGGAAGCCACTATAAGAACTCCAGTGTAGGGATGCTCTCTAGTGTTCAGAAAGTTATTTTTTCCAAGAGCTTGCTATTACAAAGTGTTGGATTTATTGTTATTTATTGTTATTTTTTTTATGGCTTCTGTAATTTTTTTTAACTTCTCAGAGCTTAACTTACAAAGGTAACTGTGCTCTGCTGTGAATGTATTTTCTGTTTGTTTTCCTGCTAATAACTTTCTTGAAGTCTCAGCTAAAAGCTGTAGGTTTCTGAAGACTCTTTCCCCTTGCAATTTGAAAGAGGGAAAAAGAAAGGATTATTGGGTTGATGGGCTGGGGGAAGTGCACCAATTCCAGGTCAGCTAACATGCTCACCCTGTATCTGATATGCAGTGATCCCTTTAAAGCCCCATGCAGTTTCACTAGAAATGAACACTGCTCTTAGAGACATGTTGGCCTGGACCAAGGTGTGGGTTCTTTGTCTCATACTGAAGTGGAAGGTACTCTTCTATGTTGTACATCTATTTATTAATAGATTTAAACAGTATGGATTTTTTTTAAGGGTTTTTTGTCCTTCCTTTTGAAAGTCTGTTTCATTTTTACTAATGCCTATCTGAAGAGAAACAGTACTTTATTTAAAGCTATTACAAAAAGTTTTGCAGAATTAGAAATAATTGCTTAGCAATAATATCAGTTACTTCCTTATGAAACAGATGTTACTGTGGTGGTCTGTAGCACCAAAATTATTATGTTACCACACTTGTAGATTCATATGCGAGGCAGTTGTTAAGCAGGGCTGGGCACTTTGGAAGCTGGTCAAACTACTGATGCACTGTGTTGTTGCTTACTGTATGCTTGCTGATCTCAGCTGAGATAGGGATTTTTTGAGTGTGCAGTAGGTACTTTATTGCAGAGTCCTTCTCACAGCAGCAAGTGCTGTTGGCAAACGTCTGAGGGGTGATCAGGTGCAGGCAGCAAAGCAAGGTGCTGCCAGGTGGAGGTGACCTGGGTAATGGGTATTTCCCCATGACCTGATCTACAAAATGCTTTGCTTGGATTTTTAATGTGAGCCAAGATAATCTTGTTTTTTCTTTTTTTTTTTTTTTTGAAGATAGAGAAAAGTAGTTCTTCCGGTGGTGTTTATGAAATGCATGTAATGTGGCCAGTAAGCCTAGAGACACTATAAAATTCTGTTTTTGGTAATACCAAGCTGAAGTTATATCTCACTGACATAGCTGGGGCTGCTAGCAGATGGGAAGAACTGAAACCAAGGGTTAATTCATTTGGTGATATGTGAGAAGACCAAGGCTGCTGGGCCGTGCTCCAAGGCTGTCCTCCACTGAGTTCTTTCCCTGCCCAGCCCCAGCAGATCGGCTCCCTGCCGCAGCTGAGCTGGCAGCTCTGTGCCCTGCGCCCTGCAGGGCTGTGAGGGGGGAGCAGGCTGCTGAAGCTGGTAGAGGGGGTTGAGATGTGGCTGCGATTCAACACAGTGCACAAACTTTAAAAGATTAATGGTTTATAGATATATACACTTTTAAGTTGAGGATTTGGATTTGGTTCATTTTTTTCTCCTGATGTTCTATTATGTTGCTTTACTGCTTTGCCTGCCAGCCTCCCACAAACTGTTTTTGTCTGCCTACAGCAGGGGGTTGGAGCTAATTGATGTTTAATGTCACTTCCAACCAAAGCCTTTCTGTGATTCTATGATTTCATTTTTGCAATGTATTTTGCTGGTGCTTTAAGTATGTAATGAGTATAGCAGCCCCTGAAATTGTTCTTCATATTGAATTGTTTTTATGACAATAGTGGATGTTGTGTTTTTTGATGATACGAATTACTTAGGAGTTGAATGGGCAAATACTTGCTTAAAATTTTAGGGGGGGGATATATTTTTAATTTTTTTTCCTACGTCAGTCCAGACAGGCACTTAGGACTCAGTGCTTGAAAGTTGAAACACATAGTATAGGAGCACAGTGTTTTAGAAATATAGAAATGAGGTGCGTATATCAGAAAGGTATCGGTTCTGAATTGCAGATCAGATTTCAGATCTATGTTTAGCATGGGAGAGCTCAAAATTGGCAGGCTCAGGGGGTGAACTTTTGCACTCTCCTTTGCTACATGGCTACATCTCTTCCTGTGTAACAGCCACTCCTTTTTCTTGCCTGCTGTTGCCTGGGCATCCCATTTGTGGTTCTCAAGGAATGTGCTCCTGTTCACTATGCACGTATGTTCCTTTTCATTTTGGCAACAGCAGCTCTCACTAGTTTTCCGAGAGATGCCAGTTTGCTGGTAGGTCTGCTGTCACAGAAGAGGAGAAAGCTGACTCCTGTGTCAGCTGTTAGAGGACAGCCATAGCATATTACCCCCTGTGGCTGCACCAGAAGAACCATCTTTTTGTAGAATTTTACCAAAGGAAATTAGAGTGAATGCTCAGACAGCACTTCTCTAACACTTTTCCCTGTGTTGTTTGCGAAGAGCCACATGGAAGCTTTGACAAGCTTCGTTCTGGTTGGTTGGACCACATGCTAGATCAGTTTAGATGATTCATTTTAGAGTATAGAAATGAAAGCTAGTAGGGTAATGCATGTAGTTGTGATGCTACAGGCCTGTGAGATACTTCATGTAGTAGGGATCACGGGTAACTCATCAACAGAAATGTCTTCTTTCTAGAGAGGCTTATGCGTAGTTTTTTTGCCATAAAGTTTTACATGTGATTCTTTAATACAGCTGCCACTGGAGACATGCCATCCTACCAGCTTCGGACTCCCACTACTAACTTACCTCAGGGAGTGGTAATGGCAGCCTCACCAGGGGCTCTGCATAGTCCTCAGCAACTGGCAGAAGAGGCAACGCGCAAGAGAGAGCTGCGGCTTATGAAAAATAGGTAAGAGCACCTCGTTAATAGCTGCTGTTGGGAAAGTAGGAACCTAAAATAACAAAAACAAAACTTCACATTCTAATAATGTTTTTTCTTAAAGTCACAAGCCCTGTCTGTGATTGACAAAGGGGAGGCAAGAAATTCTTTGTGAATCATTCCGTATGTTTATAGGACTGATGAATATTGGTCTTACCTACATGGATTTTCAGTCTTTAATTTTATGGTATTTCAAAAATCAGTATTGATGTTTTTCATTAGTGGTCATTTTTGTAATGATCCAGATGTATACTTATTGTTGAAAGACATATTTCCCTACTGACAATAAAATGACTGTTATGGGCATGCTTCTCTTGCAACATCCCAGGGAAGAACTGGTAAGAACAATATCTGAGAATCTCTTTAGCAGCTGTCTATAATGCTGCGAGGAAGACTCAGGCTGTAACTTGATGATAATTGTAGGATTTTCTATGTACCTGCCTCAGATAAGTTACTATGCAGTGCTCCTGTCATTTAAAATATTGTGTGGAGTGGCTGTATATGTTTTAATTAGTTGGCATGTAATTAACTATATGCTGTGACTATCTGTTGTTATATAACTGCCTTTATCTGCTTATTCTTGTTATTTTTAGGGGGCTTTCTCCCTTTTTTAAATTCATAGACACTTCTATCAATGGAAGTGAGGTTAATGCCTCAGGAAAAAGTAGCTTGCTATGCAGATCTCTAGTATGTTAAATAGCCACTTGCCTTATGATTGAATTCATGGTATTGCTTTGCTCTCATGCCTGTTCTTAAAATTTCTCACAGAGATTGCTGCGTTGTTATGCTCCCCTTTGTTTTTCCACTTTGTTTTTAAAACCAGTCTCTATTCTGTCTCTGAAAATAACTTTACTGCAAAGTTCTGTTCTCACAGTTTGGCAACTTGAGTAGTTCCGAAACATTTAAGGAGTGGAATCCCATTGCCTATAAAATTTCTTCTATAATTGAATACTGTCTTAAGACATGCTTCTGAAAATACTGTCTGAAGTCTGTAGTCCTTGTTCTGAAAATACTATTTAAAGTCATTGACATAACATCGTTCTGAGTGGAGCTATGGGAATGGCTCTGGGCTGCCATTTGCCGACAACAAAGTCACTGATGTGGACAGTTCAAAATGCTGGCATACTGTAGCTACTTGGAATTCTACTGTAGATTGCTACATTATGGTCAAAAACTACAGCATGTTTTAAAATGTGGCATCTAGCTTTTCATCTGGAGAGAGTGTCGTTCAATTTGTGTTTTCTGAAAGTAATTTCTTTGGGTTTGAATGTAAGAGTTTGAATGCGGAGGTCATGGTCCTGATAAACACACAGAATGGAGTGTGACTGCAAAAGAAAATGCTGCTTTTGGTCTTGTGTCCTACAGTTCAGGTCATTATGTCATCATTTATTGTGCTTTTTTCAGTTCTTCAGTGTGTTAATTCCATTATTGTGTTTGGTGATGAATTTGTTTCCAGTTGTTTTCATGGTTTTGAATTGGGTTTTAACCACGCTGTTGCTTATGGCTGTTACATGCTGTTCTGTTTGTGCAATCCAACAGTTGGTGGAGGTGGTGGTGGTTGTTTTTGTTATTGTGGAACCAATGGGATTGCAGGTAATTTCATTTGTCCAGTCTTTGCCATACTGTGGCTGTTCCTGTAGTCATTTGCCTTGTATTGGTTCCAGGGAAGCTGCCAGAGAATGTCGCAGAAAGAAGAAAGAATATGTCAAATGTCTTGAAAATCGTGTGGCTGTGCTTGAAAACCAAAACAAGACTCTCATTGAGGAACTCAAGGCCCTCAAAGATCTTTATTGTCATAAAGCAGAATAACTGTCTTTCATTTGGACCTTGTTTATTATGAACTTTAATCAAGGCATGAGAGGAAGCAATTCTACAGATTGCCATATGAACTTGAGAAAGAGACACTTGAGGCCCTTGTGGAACCCCACTTTTGCTTACTGTTTTCAGACTTATTTGGGAGATGCTCCAAAATTTGGAATTCAATTCTAGTCTCCCTACTCTGCTGAGCTTTCTAATAGCATGCAAATGGCTTGTTGTTTGCACTTTTTACTTCTGCTTTTTGCAGGGAAGCTGCTAAAGAATGTCGACGTCGGAAGAAAGAATACATAAAATGTCTGGAGAGTCGTGTTGCAGTGCTAGAAGTTCAGAACCAGAAACTTATAGAGGAGCTTGAAACCCTTAAAGACATTTGCTCTTCCAAAGCAGATTAGTAAAAATATTTATTATACTGTGAACTGACCTAAAATATGTCCGGTTGCTTTATAAGGCAATACAAGGCCAATATGAATTATGGCTTTCTCTGTGTCATTTATATTATATTCCAACTTCCAACATTCCTGAAATGCTTTCCTGCTTTTTGTCAATTCATAGCTCTGCTTACAGGTTTTACACGTTCCACCCTTCCACCTCCCAAGGAGCCAAATGGTTTAAACAAAAAAAAAAATCTAAGTGAAAAAACTCATAATTTCTAAGAGCTGTTTCTTTGCCATATATTTACATGCTACTTTTTACATGTACTGCTAGCGTTCTGCACATGCAAAATATTTTGCAGCTGTTTCAAATGAATCAAAGATAATGCATCCGGTAATATGAGAAAAATCAAATAACTCAAGGTATCTCAGGAAAGAGTTTATAAAAGAATGTTATGATTACATGTATGTATTAGCAAACTGGTCTACAAATGATTTTATGACATATTTTTATATTAGTTGCTTTGTGGAAAGAAAAAGTATTGTATTGCTATCACTGAGTGCCATGGCTAAAGATAGTTTTTAATAGAATGATGTTGTTTAACCTGTGTAGTGTCTGATTTCCTTTAAACATCTGGTTATTGGTGATGCTTTTAAACCTGTGAGAGTTTGGAGGGGGAGGAAGAGAACAAACTCCCTGACATGATGCTAAGTATATTGCAGGTATCTGAGAACGTCTGTTACGTGGTGGTTGTTCACTTACATTTTCTGTAGTCTGTGAAACATCTGGTTTATTAGAAGCCTATGTGTAAAAATTTGATTTTCCATCCTGAATAATGTAGATTCTGGACAGTTGTAGAAGTTACCTATACTGAAGACTGATGGTGTAGTTCTTTTTACACTTTCTGCAAAGTACCAAGGGGAAATAAAGGTGACTTAAGGATGGAAGCTTTCCAATAAAGAGTAGCTATCTGCTGATTTACGGGGTTCCGGAATAATATCTAGGTGAGAGCTGATTGATCTTTTTCAAATAAAATTATGCTTAAGCCGGATCACAGGTTTGGTAAATGTGGTGTTCCAGCTGTTAACTTTGTCAATTGCTTCTGAATTTTTGTTCATTTCAGAAATAATCTGATGCTTGATGGCCTATACGTTCTATGAGCAGAGTCTTTGGGAGCTTTGCTAGAACTGGCAGCACCATTGCCAGTGCTTAGAGTTCCTGCTTGAATGGGAAGTGCATGCTTTGAAGCAGGGGGAAGGAATTCTGCCGTTACTGAAGTCACTAAGATTTCTTCACTTAATTGAAACTGACTTTTAACCCATTTCTTCTTCATACTGCTTGGGGTGTGTGTAGGGGTATATATACTCTTTTACTTTAAATCTTGTTTTCTGGCACTTTCCCAAATCACTTGAAATAAACAGGATAACTTTGTCAGAACCCTTAGGAAATACTGTTGGGTACTTTGGTGAGATGATCTGTACGAACAGGTAGTATCTGTCTTTTCTTGTGGCTACAGCAGTTGATTTAAGAAGGAAGCTGACTGGCTTTTGGACCCATGGGCTCTGCTTCAGGTCTGGAACCAAAATGAAGGAAAATGTGGAATAGCTGTTTCGCTGTGAAAACTCATCCTCAGCACTAAAGTCAGTGCAAGGGTCAATGTTTCTGTTGAAGATGGAGGATAGGATGAGTACAGGCTGTTACAGGTCTGTGTTGCAGCCTCTAGTCTCAACAGAAGTGTCCAACAAATTGTTTATTGTGGCTCTATCACTAGAATCTGTTTTCTATTACAGGAGGCCTTGTTCCTGACTCTCTGAAGGAATTTGGAAACTAACTGGAAGAAAACTTTGGCATCTACTTCATATCTTTCTGGTCTACAGTAATTTCTTTGCTAATGCTTTTAAAACAATTAATATGTGTTTTTTATTTAAATAAGTTCTTCAGGGGAGCTGAGAAGAAGGCTCTGTCAATAAGTAAGCTGAACTTAGATGTTCTTGGTGTGAGTTAGGTCATTCTGGAAATTCCGTTTCATTTATTTATCTGTACCAGGGAAAAGTATCCTGTTTCCAAAAAGTCCACTGCACAAAACCTGGCTCATTTGGACTACAGCTAGGAAAAAAAATACTTGATGCATGCTTCTTTCATTTTAAGTAATTTGGCCTGGTTATTGGCGTTATCAGAATTACCAAAACACTTCTGTATTTCTATGTGAGAATGCACGAGTTTGTTGGTAAGTAAGAATATTTGTGTTTGGTAAATTAGAACCAAGGTGCATCTTGCTGTGTTGGAAATCAACTCTCAAATGAGCAATGGAAGGCCTGCACAAATGCCAGGGATCTGTTGTCAAATCAACACTGGAAAAGTAGAGTACTTAGCAGTACATCCAGTTTTGTGTTAAGAAATATGCAACGAAAACTTCTAGAGTTCCCTGAGGCTAAAAGAAGATTTGAAGGTGAGCTCTAAGTACCTCTGGCATTTGTCAGAGCAACAATACCAAATTCTTATGTGAGAAGGGACTGCTGGATCTCTGTCCAAGCAATTGCAGTGGTAGGATGTATGGTAGGGTTTATGAATGAGTTCAGATTGTAAGGAAACACAATATCCATGACTGTTGTGGTTCACATGAGTACCAGGACTTGCCCTCTATCCTCATTTTAATTCTGCAGTTCTCTGCTGAATCAGGTTGAGAGGAAGAAAGAGACTGGAAGGAAGATTAGGTCTCTTAAGTACTTTGTCATTGCACGGCAGCATAGGAAAGCGTGTTGAGTCCAGTGGATTTGAATACTTGAAGTACATCAGTAATTTTTATCTGGATTCATGTCAACTTGTTTCTAAAAACAACTTTGTCCAGAAAAAAACCCACATTCTTTTGTCCTTTTCTCAGTGGGCTGAACTTAGAGCAATTTTAGGCGTTCATTTTCCATGTCTTACCTATAACCTTACAGTCAGGATGACAGTTGCCAGCTAAGGTAAATTTACAGAAGTCTATTTAGAAAACATGAAGTAGAAGATCTGTTTAAAATTTTTCTTCCCTGAAATTTAACTTCGGCTTCTGAAATAGCACACCTGTAAGTCAAGCCATCCCTTTGCGTACAACAGCTGTTGGTGATTGTTGAGTTACACGCTATTTTGAGTTTCCAGATATTCCAGCTGTAAATGATTAAAGCAAAGTATTGTGTACAACATGGAGCATAACAAAGAAAGTGGGTTGCTTACTTTCATTCAGAGACTTTGCTCTAAAACTGCCAAGTTACTCCTTGATAGCAGAGGAAAAATAGCAACAAAGGATTTCAGTTTGCTTCAGCTGCTTTTTCATCTTTTTGTACTTCTCAGAGGAGGCATCCAGGACCCCTCGTGCCTACTTTGGCTCCTTCAGCAGTGCAAATGCCTGTCCATTTAATTACGAAACTCTTTAATGAGTAACAGTTTGCCCCAATGCAGTTTTTGAAGCTGGGAGCTATTTTTATGTTGAGCTGCCTGAATTATTTCAGATTTCCAGTGCCTCAGATCTTAGTTGAATAGGTATTGTTCCTGTGACAACCAGATAGTGTACAACGTATGACAATTCTCACCAAATTTGGTATTAATTCAGAATTATTTTAATATTATAATCCATTCTGATGCAATAAAAAGCAAGCTAGGTAAGTCTGACTTTCTGCTAACCTGAATTAGAAGTATCTACTGTCCTCTTCTGTACCAAAGATCATTTAATTACCTCCTTATCTGAGAATCCATCACCAGGAAGATTTCACTGCTGATAAGGGAGACTCCTTTCAAAGTAGGCCTTGACCAAAAGATCAGAAACCACCTTCTGTCTCCTGCCATACGATTTGTAGATTTTATAGCTGTTTCCCATTTCCAGGAAAAAAAGAGTTTGCTAAGAATGTACAAATAGCAATTGGAGATGTGTTCAGTCTTGTCTTATATCATAGCCTGCCGTCTTGTAGGACAAGTAGGGGAAGAGCCTAACTCCCTAATGAAAACATGGCTCTGAGCTCTGGATGCCACTGTAATTTCTGTTGGAATCCGATCCTAATTGAGATCTGTGAATTCAAGGGCTTGGTGGGGTACAGGAGAAAGGCCCTTTGGGCACAGTATTATTACAGAATTGAGGGACTGGGAGGGACCACTGGAGGTCATCGAGTCCAGCCCCCTGCTAAGCAGGTTCCCTGTAGTATCTTACACAGAAAAGCTCTCAAGTGGGTTTTAAGTATCTCCAGACAAGGGCACTCCAGAAGCTCTTGTGGCAGCTGGTTTGTGCCCATTGCCCTTTGTCCTGAGACGTGAGCCTGACTTTATAACGAGAGATTTTGAGTGTTGTCCAAGCTGTAAATTATCAGTCAGATTTTTTTTTTCTCCTGTACCAATCAGAAAGATTCAAAATAATTGATTTATTTTTCTGTAAGAAGGTCATATTTCTATAGTACGGAATTATTTTACCTTGCTGAATCCATGCAACTGTTTGCAAATTTGAGACAACTGGATAATCTGCTTTTATCTTATAGGAAAGTACACACAAATATACGTGAATATTTTTTCAAATATAATTTCTTGTTACTTGGAGGAAACGCTCTGTTCAAGAATGTCTTCAACCTCCTGGACAGGTAGGTGATGAGGAATGCAGTAGTCAGCTTCCTCTTACATGAGAGTTTTGAGTCACAGCTGTGTTCTTCCACATCTGAACAGGGAGGTGGGTGAATAGAGTTAGAAATCTCTAGGCTTCATGGCAGAGCTCTCTTGGCTTGCTTGAGCTGTTGCGAGTTGGGAAAATTGGAATTAAAATCAGCATATTGCGTGTGTAGGTGCGGGCTTACAGTTCTTACTTATTTATTTTGAGTTGTTCCTTCCCATGGATTTTGCAAGATCTGTTTGCAGTGTAAGTATCTCCTTGCACTGATAAAGCCTAGGGACTGCATGCTTTGTCATCCTTCCCTTATTTATCTGTGGATTTCCCTCCATTTTCAAAGCAATGCTGATTTGTACTATTAGCCTACAGACTAGTGTGATAGCAAAATCCAATGTGATGCTTTTTCTGAATGGAGCATCACTACAAAAAAAGCAGCAGCTGTTATGGGTTGCCTCATGTTGCAACAGTGCTTCTCACTTCAAGTTTTGTGCTTGGTTGCATTTTAGTTGTCAGTGTTCCCATATAAAATACGTTCTTTTGGGGTAACAGACTTCATTTAATTGAGAACTTTTAAGGTGCTATGAGGCTCTTCTAGATGAGGCATGACAGAGATTTATTCCTGCAGAAGTTATACTAGTTTGAGTTTGGGCTTAATTTAAAAGCTGAAGAAAATGCAATAATTACTTTCAGGGCAGACTGGCAATGCCAGGTAGCAAAAAATCACTTTATTCTTCTATATGCAATGAATCTTTTCTAATCCTTTTGCTTAAGTTTCTGGGTTTTTGTTTTTCTTTATCATTTTGCATATTACAAAGCAGGTGTCTGTGTGCACGAAGTTGTGGAGAGACAGAATAATGCGAGAGCTGAATTCTAGACTAAGGAAAAAATAACTTCATTGTATTATGTATGACTTGAATGGAAAAACCAGAAGAGGAAGTGTCTTTGTTACGATAACTGCTGAGTTTTTTCCTCTCCTATAATAGCGCTATCCGTGTAGTCAGCTGTGATTAATATGTCTTGTGAATGGAATAACTATAAAAATGTCCCAGTTCAGGAGTCTCGGTAACTAGCCAAGCTATTGTTTTTACTTTGTTGTTTCAAATATACAACTTGAAATGGTCTTGAATTTGGCCTTCAGTGGATTTGCTTTGTATGATTTTATTGAATTTTTTTCAAACATGGCTGAATCATAGCAGGTAAAACCTGCACCAGGGTTGTTTAACAGGACCAGTCTGTAAGGAAAACGAGGTAGGAAGAAGCCTCTGACTGATATGAATGTATAATAATGTAAGTTCCACCTGGAAAAAGGCAGTGTCTAATAGGAATAATAGAAGACTAAGACCTGTTGTTCTATCCAGCGGCTACTCCTGTAAAGCTTATTTATTTTGTAAGGTCTTTACCAAGTTTCTAGTTTTCTTTAAGTCTTGCAGTAGGGAGAGATGTGTGAATGCTTTTGAATTCAGTGTGTGTTTGGGTTGACGTTTGAGTTTTGAAGAATCAAATTTGCCAAGATGTTAGCTGTACATAAAAAGCTTTCAGAATTTTGTCAGCTGCTGTACAAAGAAAATACCTGAGTTCTTTCGTACCTGCCTCTTCGCTTCTGAGGCTGTCAGTTGCTTCAAAGGTCCGGAACTGGGCTTGGAACTGCAGCCTTCTTGACACAAATAGCCAACTAAAATCTTTGAGAACTTCAAAGTAGACTTTCTCCTGCTTCTCTCATTTGAGGCATGACTTATTTAGCTTTTTTTTCTGAGGCTTGTCTACTAGGAACAGAATTGATGTAAAATATGAACAGAGAGAAGGGGGAAAAACAGGAGAGTGAATGAAGTGTTGGAAAGCTGCAGTATTACAGAGTAAGACAGATGTTGTCAATTTGCACGTTAGATCTTTTTTGCTTGGGTCTTTTTTCTTCAGTGTAAGAGCATAGGTGGTTTGGGCAGGGATCAGAGTTCTCCTGTATGGAGCATAATATGAGAATCATTAACAGTTCAAATTGTTTTCAGTTTCTTTTCTTTTCTAGAATCAAGTGTAAATTATGAGCTGTAGCTGATGCCGTTCATGTGAACAGATCCATTCCATATGCTCGTTGTCCTTTCTCCTAAATGTCTTTCATTTCTTTGAGATATTCGTCTAATGCTAGCACTCATGTTTGTGTTTGATTTCTTCCAGTATGTTTTGAATGTGATGGTCCATTTCAATTTAACAGATGCCTTGAGGATGTCTCAGAAGTTCCCTGAAAACAGGTGGCTGCCAAAGAAGGCAGATGCTGTTCATGGACCTAATGAAAGAAAAGCTGCAAAGTAAGCTGTGTTGGATATAAGAAAATCTAATTGGAGTTTTCTTTCTTCTTAGATTGCAGAGAACTAATCCACTGATTGCAGGTGAACTGTAATGCTATTAGTCTTATTGCTGACAATCATTTCTATTTTGGGGAGATACTCAGATTCTGTGGAATACCACATATGTGTTCAAAAGTAAAACGTGTCTGTAAACAAAGCTTTTTTTTATTTAATAAAGACATTAACAATTTAGGTCTGCAAAGCATCTGTGTCTAAAAGTCTTCTTTGGCAAACTAGAGTTGGCTTTGTAAAGAAGCAAGGAAATTTACCCTGATTAAATACTTCCTGATTGCTCTCCTGCATTTAAACAGTTTGTGACAATTGTATAAACTTCAGCTAGGCAAGTAGTGAAGTAAAATAAACTGACTTGGAAATCATAGGATCTTTAAGGTTGGAAAAGATCTAAGATCATCTAGTACCGATACACTAACAAGAAAAAGTACCCGTTGTCCTTACAGCGTTGCATTGAAATAGCTTTGAGTAGAGAAAGTTTGGTAGGGTGCCCTGTTAGATGCCCAGTGCAGATTTAGCTGATCTTTTGGGTCAGAGCTGGAAACAGAGGCTGTTGAGTTTTTTCAGCTGTTTTAGGCTGACACCTTGTGGAGTATGTGTGTCTGTACTTCATTTCCAAGGAATGAAGCTGTCAAAAAGCATTACAGGAATAGGAAGCTTCTTGTATCCGGGTGTTTGTGGGGGGAGGAGGGGAGGTGAATGAGGTTTACTACAGTAAAAAGTGTTCTGTGGTTGAGAACAACAACTCCAGAGAATAATCAGGTAGTCGTTTAGTATGTAAAAATACCGTATTGACAAATTTTCAACTTCTAGAGTCTTTCTGACTGTTAGTCTCATTAAATGAAAGCTAAAATGGTAATTTGTTCTTGGTTACATTCAGTCTAATAATCATGGAATGTTATCTAAATATGTAATCAGTGTTGCAAATTCTGCTATTGAAGCAGAGCAGCTACTAGTTCTGAACTGGGAAAATGAAATATAATAAACAAGCACATTTTGAAACATAATAGTATGAGGGTAAAAAGGAGTAACTTCATTTCCATTTTAGTGCACGGTAATCTGGGCAAATGGGAAGATCATTCTGGGAATGGGAAAAGAGGAGGTATTAAAAAAAGGAATACAAAAAATGGAAGAAGATAAAGGCAGTGATGAAGAAAGGTCGAATAGATTGCTCTTAACTGATCCTAGTTGCTGACTTCTGCGTAACAGTCATGAATACAGACAATTCCTATGGTCACATCATCCCATTTCCATGAGGCTCTCTGTATGCTTAGGTTATACAGAACTGTGTGGTGAAGTTTTCCCAACACTCCTATGAGGCCTAAACAGATTCTAAATGATTTTTTACTTTTTAATTTTTTAAGCCTTATTAAAGAGGATGAGCTATGTACGTGAGTTTTGATCTCAAGCTGTGGAACAGCAAGTGCATTTCTGTGTGGTGTGGTAAGATAATGGGTATGAAACAGAAAGATGACATGGTTTCTGAATGGTTGTTATGAAGAGATTCATTTAAATAATCTAATTGACAAAGCAGTTGTGAATACCATGTAATTTCCAGTCATAAATGTAAGGTTAACTCACAGAAATGTCATCTGACAGTTTGTTTTAGTTGAGATCCTAGTTGAGGTTGATATCTACTGTCACTGTACTGCAAGACTGCAAAACCCATGAAGTTGAGTTGCTGTCCCAGTTGTTTTCAGCGTAGCTCAGTTAGCCAGCATTAGATCTGGATGTATGTCTGTTCCCTGGATTTGAAGTATTTTGGAGGTTAAAAAAACTGTGCTCAAGCAAATGCTGAGCATCATCTTTTACTGTTGAAGTAGATCAGGCAGTTTCACACACAAAGCCATTCTGTACATGCTCCTGTTCCTGAAGGAAAGAAACAATTGCTCCAGTTCTTTGCCCATCATTTTAGCTCTAGAAATGCTTACACTTTCCTCTTGGTCTCCTGCATCTACCATTAGTGTCCTAAGGATTGGAAATGGATTTTCACTCATAACACAGCTGTGCTCTTCACTCCTACTAACAGCAGAGGTCTCACTGTCCTAATCCAGAACAAGGGAGGGGAGAGGGGAAAGGACTATTACAGCTACGTACAGCGGTGTCTGCAGGTGTCAGGTCACAGCTGTGTTACACTTCTACCACTTCCCCTTAAATAAATCTTTGACAACGGAACCTCTGCTTTCTACTTGATATTTGCCTAAAACCAATTAAAAGAAGCTTTTAAAAGTTGCTCTCATTGCTGGAGGCATCTCTTCCTATCGGTTCCTTTTAGTTTCTTTTTTAAAGACTTCCATGATGGCTGTTGTAGTAGAATTTAATGACCCAGATGGCTCTAGATGCTAACGTGTAAGTTTGAATTTCCTGAGTAAGGTGGTCTGCTTCTGCCTTTGGCAGTGAGGTTTGTCATGCTTTATCTTATGTGCTTGATGAATGGGAGGTCACAGAGAGCTTTTTCAAGTGTCCAGATGTAAAGTAAAGACATAAGCTGAAATTGGAGGGTATAGGAAAAACTTCCGCTCAGCAAAACGGGCATCCTCATAATACAAACACTGAGGCCATGCTCTATAGTTTCGCAGAAGACATTTATTGATGCCAGAGCATTTCTTTACCCACCCCTCCAGCCCCTGTAAAGGTTTTCTAAATAGTAAGTTCAAGCCTTGTAGGCAGTCTGTAATGAGTCTGAAAGAATTGATTTGCAGCAGACTATGTAAAAATTTGCATTCAAATGCTTACCTCTGCTGAAATTTTAAGAAACTAAAACTAGGGCTCACGTGCATTTATTGTGCACTGTATGAAGACTTGATATATTTAGGACAGAGGAAGAAATCATTGAAAGTGGCAACATAAACTTAAGTTTTGGTTAGGATATTGGTTTCATTTTACTTATCTGAATTACCTTAAGAAAAAATCTTAGTATACAAAATAATGTTTGACTGATTTGTAATGATTTATGTAATTGAATGAGAGGAATTATGTATATATGGAGTAAAATATGAGTCAGTCAGTGACCTTACAGGCCAGCACAATGGTTACAAGCCACTTTTAAAATGTTTCTTTTGTAGGATGTTGGACAGATGCCCAGCAAAAGTGAAACAGTGGAATTTCTGATATCAGAGTAACTTATTAAAGTATAGAGAAATGTAAAAACAGCAGCATGGTTTTCAATTACAGGCTTGATCAGGAAACTAAACTATCAAATGAGTGAAATCTATAAGCACAATGGCTCTGAGTCTTCACCAGTATAATGTAAAATAAAATACATGCTAAAATACAGGTAACATAGCTAATATATCAGGTGATACTTGCTATTATCAAAATATACTCATCCAAAATTGAGGTAGTCCAATTATCAATCTGTTTCAGTGAAATAACAGGGAGATTTTCTGAAGTGCAGTCCTTAACTTTCAGAGTCTGGAATTCTCATGTGAAGTCCAGTTCCTTGCACTGAATGTACAAACTGAGAGGAGAGAAGAGGACTAACTTCCCAATAACTTAAGTTAGTGGGGATGCATCCTACCCCAAAGTTTGGTGTGTAATAGAATTTATTGTTACCTGTGAAAAGATCTCCCTGTAAAACAAACGAACAAACAAAAAACCCCTTACAAAACCAACAGAAACCAAAACTCTTTAAGATTTTTTTGTTAGGGAGGGAGGTTTAAAAGTAACGTTGCACAATGTACAAATTGTATATGGCAATAAAGTTCCTCAGTTCTCTCATTTAACCCAAATAGTTTTATAGTTTATTTGGATTCAGATGACAACGTCAAAAGTTGTGTTATTCACATGAATTACATGAATTAATAATCAGTACAGATCTGAAAGCGTTTGAAGCTATTTTTGTCCTTGTTTGCAGTACCACTTGCCACTGCTGCTGGCAGCCTTTGGACATGTGATTACTTCTCTGTGCAGACAGAAACCTCTTTATTATCCTTTAAATCTTTAAATGTTTGTGTTCTATTTTTTCAGTAACACTCAAAAAAATTCTTTGCTTACTGTTAAGTTATGGATGCTGTTTCTGCAGTGTTCTATGACCTATGCAGTCCTGGCTGGAGTCCAGAGATTGCCTTGTTCTCTTGCAGTTTCTATGTGTTTTCCTTTGCACCTTCCCATGCTGCTCACGTATGTGATATAGCAGGTTGGAATTGAATTGATTTGCAGTATTAGGAATGATAGCAAAGTCTTTTAATTGGTGATGGCCAGGATATATGGATGCAGAAATACAAATCAGTTTGTTCAAATAGACCGGTATGAAATTCTCCATGAAATTAAGTTAGATGTTGGTAAAATAAATTAAATGAAATACATAATAGGATTCCAAAATATTTGCATTAAATATAGGACTCCAAGCTACTTAGTGAGATTGCAGTGGAAATGGTGATGATAATAGTTTAAGAAAGTGAGCTCCTTCATTGCCCGAGAGAGAGGTACGTACAGTCCTCTCAGAAAACCCCACTGACAAAATCTGTCTGTACCTGCAACCCATCAGCAACTCTAAACTTTCTTTGGCGATGATTTTATCTGTTTTATAGAAGAAATTTGTTAGTGACAACGACATCTGCCTCCTGCTGTGTCTGGCTTAAAATCACATTTGGTTTGTAATGGACTAATGCTTTATCTCTCCAATAAAGAAAAAAAAAAATGCTCCAAAGCAAGCATACAATGCCATGAAAGCTTTTCACTTACAGTCTGAGAGGATGCAACCCCAGAATGGATATAACAACATTAGACTTCCCTGTGGTACCTTCTGTTGGCTTCTTCTGACCTGAAGACACCAGTGGGTCTGGTTTACGGCTTTTCCTATCTCTTAAAATGTGCTGAATAAGATGAACGCAATGTCCTTTTCTTGGAGACTGACTTCATAAACAACAATTAACTTGCAGGAAGTGCGTTATGGCATCGTATGTTAATGATGTTATCTGTAAATGGACAATACATGGATAAGACAGTCTAAATAGGGCAAGGCAGAATCTTAAATCTATGAGCCTTCAAACTAGTTCCTCTAGTATCAACCAAATTCATCAAGTTATTGGATGACTCACCTCTAAATCGTACATCAGAGCTGAATTCCTGATGCCTTTTTTCGCCTGAATTTCCTGTGCTACGTTTGGGGATGATTACCTTTCAAAGCAAATTGTGTAAATCACGCTGGAGTTCTGCTGAGCTCGATGCTGAGTGAACAACGCACATCTTTACATGCAGGAGCTTCAGCTGAGAGCAGTGTTCTACTGTTGGTTGGTCTTACATCTTTTATAGGGCTATCATGAAAAACAGGAATCCAAGTTGTGCAGTACTTTTCTGTTTCAGGCCTCTCCAAGGTTGAGAGAGAGATGGGGTCTGTGTTTGTTCAGACCAAGTGTTTGAGTGTGTTTGTTCCACAGTCAGGTTAGGTTTTGTGCCATCAGAATCTGGTCACGTCATTCTTAGGCTGTCCTTGAAAAATAAAAAATAGGGAAAAAAAAAAAGCAAAAAAGGAGAAATATTCTTAAGAAATAGAGACATGTTAAAACTGAGCAGTAATTGATAAAGAGCAAGGGGTGGATAGCCCTGCTTAATTCTGCTCAGTTTAGGTCTGGCCAAAGCTGTAGGGTTGTTGGGGTTCTCCATAGTGACTGACTTAGTGATTCAGTTTTTAGTGATGTGGTATTCTATAGGGCCCCTAGTACATTTACTGCTTAAGCCTGTATGAAAGTAGGAGGCTTGCAGTGTGACACTTAACTTGGTGCTTATGGATGCTGGTTCTGCAGTTCTTTTATTTTGATGTCTTTTTTTTTTTTGACATCCTCCTGTCAGTGGTCGTGCAGGTGATTAGCAGTATGGGTCGAACTGAAAGAGTCTGTGAGCTGTGACACTCCAGATAAATAATAGAAAATGTTAGCATTTTCCATCAAAGTAATGTATAAAAGTTCCAACCCTAAACCAAACCACTAGGCCAACATGTATCTCATTAGAAATAGTAGCCACCACAATTACGCGTGCCTTGTCTATGAGTCCCATACAAGTTACAAATTCTTAACATGTCTCAGTTTGAATAATAGGAAAAATTATGAAACAGAGAAAATACTGTGTTATTGTTACAGATATGCCAATATATTTAAACAGAGAGATGAATCTTAGTGACATTACTATGGACAAAGATAACGAACGTTGAGGTTATGGACTCGAGTTGTATAATTGTATAAGCAAACGTGTATCATTCAAACACATACAGTTCCAACACTGCATTTAAACAGCTTTCAAGTTCTAAGGGGCATCCATGAACATATGAACTGCCAAATCGTTCCAAAGAGTTTTGCTTTGTAATTTTGTACCAAATTCTGCAATTCATGTAACTCACCCATTGCAGACACAAAAGAAGCCTTTTTAATTGTGCTTTTTTAATTTAATAAATAGATCTTGCTATCTTAGAAGTTCTGTAATGAAATGTGCATGTGCTTGTATGCGGATATTCTGTCCTGTGTTATACAGATTGCTTGTCTGTTTTTAAGAACAGTTTTGAGGAGGTCTGTCTTCTACATTTTGAGACAAGCATACTATAAAAAGTATAATTTTTAGTCATATTTTATAATATGCTTTCACGTGCCTCGTTAGTACTTAAAAAATTGTCCAAGTATGGGTCAGTTCAATGTTCATGGAATGTAAAATTCTAATATTTCTAAATCCCTTTCAGTTAAGTGGCTTTACAGTAGAGGAACAAACTCATCATCAAATCAGTTGTTTTTTTTAGAACAGTGACACATCCTAAACTACACTGCAGTAATCTTGGCCAGAGAAAATACCTGTTCTAATGTATGCATTTAGTGTCCTGTGGCACAGCTTCAGTGATATTTGATAAAGTAAAGGATAGAGCTCTTCTAGGAGAAGGCATTTGGAAAAATATTAACTGAGCGGCTCCAGAAAAGGGTAGCATTAACTTGCAAGGAAAGGCAAAAAGATAGAACATTATTCGAGATAAAGCTGTCTTCATTAATTACATTCTCATAAATGGGAAGTCTAATTCAAACTGATCAGATTGTTGCCAATATTAGTCAGCAATTTCCTGTAGATATCGCTGCGCTGAGTTTCCTGTTTAACTGTAGATTTCTAGATGCTATGGAAGATGATAAACTCTTCTCGACTGCAGGGTGGTGAAAATACATATTCACTTCTAAAGAGTTTGAAAAGTGTTACTGCACTTGTATTAAAAATTAACTGTGAAGGAGTCTTTTCAACATTTCACTGTTTAGGACAATTGAACAATAGTATTACTGTGTTTTTGTAACTTCTTGGTTTTATTTCACTTTTTTAGGATAGTCTATTCTTCATTTTACCATATGGTCCTGTTCTTTATCAGCTTTACTTCTTGTCACTTTTCACTCTGTGAAACGGATTCACAGACATCCAGTGGGAAGTGTTTGTAGGTCAGTGATTAATTTTCCCAAGCCCGTATTGCAGGCTCTGGTGATTTATACTGACTCTATTTATAGAGAAAATATGACTTTTTTTTAACCTATGAACTTACATTCTCACATTGGCATTTCTGCAATCAATTGATGCATCTTCTCGTTGAGTGATGATGACAGCAGAGTTAATAGGCAGAATGTGCTACAACATACAGGAGTCTGTTTCATGATTGATGTTGGATACAGGCACTGTCTGCATCAAGCAATATCATGTGCACATCAGGAATAACACAGTAGGGTATAGTATCTATGAGGACAGTAATCTAATCGTTTTATTTATTTGTTTTCCTTTTCTGTAATATATGAACATCTTGCTATTTCCAAGTTTTAGACTTACAAATACCCTTTGAAACAGATGTTACTGCTGTTTTACTGAAAGAGATCTAAGAAATGATGAAGGGGTTTTTGAAAGTCCTGCACACAGTCTACAGTGGAGCAGAAAAGTGAATTCGGATTCTCTGAATGTGTGCAAATCAGTGGGTTGTTACTCAAAAATAAAGCAAAGAGTGCTGCTATCTCCGTGATTACGTAAAGTTTAGTACATGAAAAAGCAGAAGGATTTATGGCAGAATACATTTTAAGCTTTCCCTTCAGATCACTTAAGATGTATCTCACCAATACCTTGCTAATAGCAGCAGAAACAAAACCAAAGCAAGCTTTGCCTGGCTCAAGGAGGCAGCCGTCTCTTCCTTTTTCATCTGTGGAAATGGAAACTGATTCTAAAAGACATGCTGGCTTTTCCTGTGTTTGAGGAAAATTCTTGAATTTCCATGCAGGAGCCTCACTTTTAATTCCACTGGTATTTCGTACCATTTCATTGAGGAAGAAAGCACTTTGAAAATCATAATAGAAGTCATTTTCTTAGTAGTTCTGTAGACCAGCCTTTCTACTCAAAAGGACGCTGATATCAATGTTCATTGGGAGTGCACAGAATTCATCGTTCAAATAGAAAATAAAATAAAAATCCTGCTCCATTTAGTTGAGCAGTTTTTAATTTTACATTATTTTTCAAAGGAAAGGGTACTGTCTAATCCATGCAGGGTTTGAGAAAGTTGAACAAAATATTTATGAAGTACACACTCTAAGTGATGCATCTGTTGTTCTTTTGTTAAATGCGTTAATTTATTGTTCTCTTCTCCATGCTTCTATTTTCTGTTTTTTTCCAGGCATATGCATAGGGGATTTTTCTTGAGGAGGATGATCTTAAGCACCCATATAATTCTTAATGTATTCCTACAGCTATCCACAATTGTAGTAACCTGCTAAAAATCAACAGAGGCTTATGCCTGGACAATTCGTTGAAAACCTGGACATTTCAGGAGCTTTAATTTTCATACAGAGAATTTTTTTACCTTTTTTGTTTCACCTCTTGATTTTAAAATTAAATGGGGAAGGCCTATTTTCAACTGAAGATAGATATATAGGTAATACTTTTGAGAATGTTTCACATGGGCAGTTCTTGAGATGAGTCTCTGTAGTTCACAATATTCAGCTTGGCTCACTGTCTCTGAAGTCTTTAACTTATGTTAATATAATTTCTTCAAACACAGCTCTCTGTTCCTTGTGTTAAAAAGGTTGATCTTCTAGCGAGCTGTAGGCTAAAGCTTCCCTGATGCTTTCCTTCATAGAAAGTGCTCAGCCCAAGCATATGTATGTGCTGACACATGCTTTTCCAGTGAGCTGTACTTCTGAACACTTAAATCCCTTGCATATTAACATGTAATAGCTCATTACTGCACAGATATTTTTAAGTGCAAACTGCCAAAACTGAAATGCAAAACTGGTTGCAGTGAGAAGCAGATGAAAGTTTGTGGTTTCTTCTTCTTCTTCTTCTTCTTTTTTTAATATATATTTAATATCAACTTGAGAGAAAACAGTTCTGTCTGAATATGCTCACCCAAATTTCTGGTCCAGGTTCAGATTTTTCTCTTTGCATAAACAAGGAGCAACTTCACTGAAATGAAAGGAGTTATACTTGCCTAGACCTGCATGAAATCAGAAAACATTAACAGATACCTCTTTATAGAATAGAATTGGATCTTTCACAAGCAGAGTGAAACACAGTAGCCTCTTATTCATACTTGGAATAGACTCTCCAGCTGGCAAAGTGCTTTGTGGCAGCACTACCCATTTTTACACATTATTTTGTTTTGTTTTGTTAGGCTTTTCTATACAAGAGGTTTTATTGTTTAGGAGGGAGCATTCCCACCCTTTCTAGTAGTCATCAAGCCATACTATTGGGTAATTATTGCTCTGTACATGCCAGGATCTCAGAACAAGGGATGGCAGCCAATCCTGATATGGGAAGACACACACTGGCACAAAAAAAACTAGCCTCAGAGACGATGAAGAGAGAAAAACAGAGAGAGACTGTATGGGATTGTGCTCTGTCTGCTGTGACAGTGGTATCAGAGGCAATGTTGTTTTTCCCCAGTAGTTTTCCAATATAGTTACTCCATTCACTAATGAATTAAGAGTATGTGAAATTATGCCAAAGCTAATCCAGTCAAATTCCACCCAGATGGTTAAATCCAATTGCCTGTGCCTTCCCCCACAGTGCAAAAGCTTCCCTGGTACAGTTTGCTTGCTTACTGCTTCTTCATCTGCTGAACAGCAGCTCTGTGCTGTATCGTAGATGTTCCCTCATGCATAATGTGTGGGTTTCTGGCTGCTTCCATGTTCAGATCTTGTTCTATCCCTGAAGAAATAACAAAAATTACAAATGGTTAGGTATGTATAAAAATTTCAGTATGTCTTTGAAATGCTTCAACCAAAACAATGATCAGCCTTTCCCTAATTGGGGGAAACTGCTCATTTCTGTGGTAATTCCAAGCCAGTGAGAGAATTGGCAATAACATACACTTATCTAGGCTATGTATGTTTAGGGAAGTTTTCTGACACTTGCTCTTGGGTGTATCACCTTCATCCCTGAATCACCTTTTGTGGAGTAAATGAAAACAGATGGGATCCTCTATTGTTCATGTACTTCAGGACAGGACACTGACTTTGTACTCTGAATTCCTGCTTAGAATAGTAGCTTCTCAGTGGCTGGCAGGAGATTAGCATCCTAATTTATGCACAGGAGTTAAGAGCACGAGGCAGGTAGCCTGAATTCTTTCCCTTGTATTCAAAAGAAATAATGATTTACTCATTACATGTTTCTCTCTGATTCAAAAACACTGCTTACTTTCTAAGAAACAGAAGCGCTATTCACCAAAGAGCTCACTTCAGTTGATATGCAATCTGAATATTTTAAGTTGGGTCACACTAAGCAGTAGCTCCATATATTACATTAATCTTGCTAAGTCTTGGTGTCTTTGCTGTGAGCAGTCACTGCAGGATCATTTTGCCAAGTACCACTGAAACCTCCAGCTGCCTCTGTTGACAGCATAATGGTTGGAGTAGGCACTGGAAGGACTTCAGTTAGCTTGTGAGATGGCTGAAAGGATGTTTTTTGGCAAGCACTGGATTACTCCAAGAAAGAGAAGACTGCCTTAATCCTCAAAGAATCAACAGCTAAGCAAAGGGGAAACGTACCACGGGATCAGTCCTTGCACTCCATAAGGGTGAACATCTGAGTGAAGACTGAGACATGATATGGCAATGTATTCTCCTGAGGAACACAGTAAAAGATTCTGCCATCTTGGTTGGGTCGGAATCAAAATAGTTTTGCTGCCACTGGATTTGGAATTACAATAATGAACATAAGTAACAATAAATAATATTGTCAGAGTTGATAACTAATATCCCTCGGCTGTTCATCACTGCCATTCTAGTTGATTTGGATGTTAGTATTACAGGCAAAATAAATGTAGGTATTACAGTTAACAGAGTATAGGCCATGATTCAGTTGACCAGCCAGATCACTGTTCATGTTGTACACAGACATGTTTATTTGAAGTTTTTGCTTAAAATCCCATACAATGCTTAACTCTGTGGTAAATTCGGCAAAACAGCATTTTAGACTTAGTCTAAAGTATTAGTAGGACTCCTACTAAACATTAGGTGGCAGTGTGGGGAAGGTATTGCATGACAAATTTGTGTGTGTGTATGAAAGATAACCAGAGTCAAAGCTCCAGTTATCACCAATTGTTTATTTTAATGGATTTTTTTAAACCTGTGCTTCCAGTATCATTAGGTTTGCAAGCAGAAAGTAGTTTGGTGATAAATAACATTTATCATTTCTTTGTATCCCAAATAGATAGAAACTGCATCTAAGCAAAACAGTAATCTGCATCTGCTGGTTTGAATCATGTACAGCTTTTGATGATGTACCAAGAAGATTTCAAGAACAACGTTTAATGAGTCACATCATTAACATTTAATTTATAAAAGTACATTGTCTTCTGCATAGTGAAGATGCTACAGATTTAAAAATGTCTTTATGCAGGAGCTAACCCGTTGTAAACAGGTACCTCAGTGATGAGGTAGCTCAGTCTTGGCCTGAGTTTTACATGCTTTATAGTATTCCTCAGATGCTGCATAAAGCTCCTCAGGAGGAAAAATTCAAGCAAATGCATGATCTTAAACTTCAGAATGGTCTCTAGGCAAATAAAAACAAACAGTGTTTAGAGGCACATTACATCTAAGCAAGTCAGTAATGTACAGCAAATAGTTCTTGCTTTACTGTACCAACATTTATCAACTAATAATTCACATTATATACTGGATATAGCTCTAATAAAGAAGTCAAAAACCAAACATGCTTTCCTGATGTACTTCATCGATCTACTTATCTCAGCTCTTAGAAAACTATACAAGACCATTACTCCAGAAAAGCATTTCTTTGTTTGCCCTTATCCGTAAATATGTATTGTAGCACCTTTGTCATTAGAATGTTCTTCAGCAAGGTCTTGGGATGAAAGGAGGAGTAAAGGTACATGAGAAATCCAGAAAAAATGACTGCAAGAAAGAAAATAGGTTGCTCCGTAGTGACTACATGGCCACAACTGATGACCACAGGTTTTAAATATTTCGTATTTAAGAACATTTTTAACATCTATCTTTAGAATACTTGGTTTAAACAGTTCTTTGCAATGAAGGAAATATCTTGTCTAGCTTATCGTGTTTGGTAAGAGGCAGGAAAGTGAGGAATTCTTCCACAGAAGTCTCTCCAGCCCTAGTGAGATGTGGCAAACTGGATGTCTCAGTAACATTATTCCATTTTATATTCTAAGATTTCATTCTGACAAAATTGTATTTGAAATTTCCTGGTTGCTGCTGATGCCCACCAGAGATTTATTTAAGCATCTCTGTGAGGTGAGCAGAGCTTATGGCAAGGCCTGGTCTGAGAGCAGGGCATGCCCAGCAGCAGTGAATTACACGGTAGTGGGATGCTACATCCTGTACACGATGGTTCTTCTGAAGCAGAGCACCAGCAAATCCTGAATGTGGTTTTGTTGGGAGGCAAACTGCAGCAGGCACTGACGTAGAAGATGCTGCACATGCTTGTATTACTCAGATGCAGAGGGCCTCTCCACATCCCTGTTTAAGGTACTGCAAAATTAGTGACAGGAGCCCATGCTCAACAGTTCTAAGAAATATTTCTTTACTACTTTGGTTTGCACCCACTAGAGTACATTCACATCAAGAACATATTGAAGCTAGCTGAAAACTAACATTTTTTTTTCTTTGCAATGTGTGACTGAAAGGAAAGGATAACCCTAGAGCCTTGTGTGTAGTTATCTGCCTCGAGCAGATCTTACAAGAACATCAGATATCACGAGAAAAGCTGAAGCATTTTTTATAAATACACAAACGCTTTTCTGTTCAGAAGTTATTGGTGTAATCATTAGACTGCCATGACTCAGACCTCCAGTAGTCATGAGATTTGCTTAGATTGCGGAGATAAAAGGAAAAAGAAAATATTAAAAAAGCTAAGGAGCTATCATCCACGGTCTCCATCTTCAGTCTTACGCTGACACGCAACATGGATTTGGCTGGGAAAGCCCCGAACACAGCTATTCGTAGGGGTGTCCTCAGAAGATTCCTAAGGACCCGGGGACCGGCAGCGAGAGCCGCCCCGGCACTGCACACAGTCACGCCGCTGGGCTGACAGCGCTGCAGCCGCGTTTGGGCCCAGCCCCGAGGTGACACGGAGCGCGGGAGGCGGCCGGCGGCGGAAAGAGGAACGCCGCCGCCAGGGTCGCCCCCCGGGCAGCGGCAGCGGAGGGGCGGCCCTTAGGCTCCCGCCAGCTGAGCGCCTCTGAGCGAGCAGCAGCCGGCGCCCCGCCGGGCGGGGGCTACGCTCCACGGCACGCCGCGGTACACAGCCACGCTCCCACGTTACGTACAGCCGCGCACAACCGCGCTGCGATACGGGGACACCTGAGAGCTGCGGACCCGGGCCCTCCGCGCCCCACTCAGTACCGCGGGCGGTCGAGGCGCGTGCAGACCCGCACACACGGGGAGCGGGCACGACTCCGCTACCGCCAACCGCCCGCCTGCCCGGCGCAGAGGCGTCACCGCCCGCCTGAACCGGAACCGCTTAGCGGAGGCCGCCCGGGGCTGCTGCTGCTGCTGTTGCTGCTGCTGCGGCGGCCGCGGGGGCTGCGGGGCGGCCGCGTGGGTGCGCGCGCGCGCGCGCGTGGAGCGGAGCCCGCGGCTGCGCGGG